ACCATCTACTTCGCCATACGGTGCCCCAGTGCTCTTCACACCGAAACCGGATGGAAGCCTGCGCATGTGCATTGACTACCGAGCTCTTAACAAGCAGACCATCCAGAACAAGTACCCGGTTCCACGAATCCATGACCTGCTTGACCAGCTTCGGGGAGCTACGGTATTTTCTAGATTGGATCTGCGGTCTGGATACTGGCAGATACGGATGGCGGACAACTCTATCCACAAAACTGCTTTCCGAACTCGGTATGGATCGTACGAGTACCTCGTAATGCCATTCGGACTCACCAACGCACCGGCAACATTCCAAGCCGAAATGAACCACATTCTACGACCACTTTTGGACGAGTGCGTGGTGGTGTACCTGGACGACATCCTCATCTACTCACACGACATGAAGCAGCACGTCGAACACCTGCGACGCGTCTTCGAAATTCTTCGACGAGAACGATTCTACATCAAACTGTCCAAGAGCGAATTCGCCCGGGAGAAGGTCCAGCTCCTAGGACACATGGTGAGCGCTCAAGGAGTACGCGTCGACCCCAAGAAAATCGAAGCCGTACGTACGTGGAAGACACCCGAGAACGTGAAGGAGTTGCAGCAGTTCCTAGGCTTCGCTAATTACTATAACTGGTTCGTGCCACAGTACGCGAAACTCGCGGCACCACTCACGAATCTGCTGAAGAAGAACACGCCCTACAAATGGGAGTCGAAGCACCAGGAAGTCGTGGAGCAGCTGAAGCAAGCACTTATGTCCGCACCAGTACTCATCTTGCCAGATCCCGAACGTGATTACGTCATCGAAGCTGACGCCAGTGACTAGGCAGTGGGAGCAGTCTTGATGCAAGACCAAGGAAATGGACTGCAACCAATCGCCTACCTCAGCAAGAAACTGCACGGGGCAGAACTAAACTACCCGATACACGACAAAGAGGCCCTTGTCATCGTCATCGCCTTCAAAGCGTGGAGATGTTATCTCGAAGGACGAAAAAAAGCCGTCTACACCGACCACTGCAGCCTGAAATATTTGAAGACACAACCCAACCTTTCCAGGCGGCAGGTCCGGTCGATCGACTTCCTCAAGACACACTTCCACTACGACATCGTGTACAAGCCCGGCCACAAAAACAAAGCACACGCTCTCAGCCGGCCTGCACACGTTGCCGCTATTCAGATTGAAGGGATGAATCCGCTCCTCAAGGGACTCTTCACACACGGGTACGCCATCGACCCTGAAATTCCCTTGGCAGAGAAACGACATCTGCTACAGTGGGACAGTGATATCGTGTACCGGAAAGGATCAACGAAAATCTGGGTACCCAATTACCCTCCTTTGCGCCAGTTACTACTCGAAGAATACCACGACGTCCTCTACGCCGGACACTTCGGTAGCAACAAAACGTTGACCGGTATTGCAAAACACTACTACTGGCCCCACTTGACAGAGGATGTTCAGAAATTTGTCACCTCCTGTGATACATGTCAGTGGATGAAGAGCAGCAAGCAGAAGAAGGCGGGACTACTGCAGCCTCTTCCTGTCCCAGAACAGCCATGGCAAGTGGTTAGCCTGGACTTCATCACCGGGTTACCACCTACCACCAACGGTCATGACGCAATCCTTCTCGTCATCGACAAGTTCTCCAAAATGGGACACTTCATCCCGACACACACGACAGCACGCACCGAGGAGACAGCACAAATATTCCAACCACACTTATCTCCGACCGAGACCCCAAGTTCACCAGCAAGTTCTGGAAGGAACTCATGTCTCTGCTCGGGACCAAACTCGCCATGTCATCCGCTTACCATCCGCAGACAGACGGACAGACCGAGCGCCTCAACCAGATTGTCGAGCAACTCCTTCGAGCAGCCTGCAAGGACGAAATCTCCAAATGGGACTTGCACCTGCCCGTTCTAGAGTTTGCTTACAACAACGCTACACATGCCGCTACTGGACAGACACCGTTCTTCCTCTGCTACGGACGCCACCCACTCACACCACAGAAATCGACGACATCCGCTACAGTCCAACCTGCACATGATTTCATCACAACCATGCATCAGCTTTGGGATCGGACCCACAAGCGCCTCCTCGACATTCAGCAGCAACAAAAGCGCCAGGCCGATCGCCATCGCAACGACCACACCATCACAGTGGGAGACCAGGTGCTTCTTGACACCCGCAACCTGGACATCAGCCACCTCCCATCTAAACTTCGACCTCGCTTCTGCGGGCCTTTCCTCGTTGAAGCACAGCTCACTCCTGTTACCTTCCGCTTATGCCTGCCAACTACCTGGAAGATTCACAACACCTTCTATGTCCAACTTCTGAAGCACTATCGGGATCCAAACACGATCTTCGTCGGACGCCAACCGCCGCCGCCGCCGCCCGTCGTCATCCAGAATGAACCCGAGTACGAGGTCGAGTCTGTGCTTGCACACCGCCGTCGTCGGAATGGCACCGTGGAGCTTCTCATCCGTTGGAAGGGTTATGATCCTTCTGAGGACAGCTGGGTACCTGAGTCCGGCATGGGTAATGCCCGTCGTCCTCTGCATGACTACCTTGTCAAGCAGGGTGTTACTTCTACCACCCAGCTTTGAGGAGGGGAAGTGTGAGAGTACGACCCCGTTACACCGCATGGCCTTTCCTTATTTCCTTCCTATTTCATTTCTTTTTTTATCTCATCTCATTTGGTTTCCTCTTCTCCCTTTTCCATTAACCTTTGGTTTATCCTACTATTATAATTATATCACCGACCAGGCTTGGGATGTACTGGTGCGCTATATCTAGCGTAATCCTGCCGTAATCCCTTAAAGCCAATAGCCTCGCGTGGCTATATGCAGGGTGATTCTATCTTCTAGAAGGGTCTATTCCCTTAGGATAAGATAAACCTGGTTACCTGATGTACTCTGGAAGTATAAAAGCGCCTTGTACTGATCGATAGTGCAATCTTTCCTCGAGTCATTCGATCCTGTGACAGTAGTCCACCGCATCGGCATAATGTTTTGGCTGTCGATCGGGATCAACGCGCATCATACGCCGTCGATTTTAGCCCAGTTGTTACCCAACTCCGGTACCCCTGTCCAGCTGGTCGTGCAGACGTTCACTTATCTCGCGGCTGTTGCAGGTTACCCAAAACCGCTTTGTTGCTGCTTAACTAACTAGGAGAATCCGCAGAGATAGGAGTGCGCACGCTTCTAGTCAGAGGAGCTTTAACGGGCTCGCCTACTAACTGCTAGACAACTCCCTCCTCCGTCGGAAACTCGTCAAACTACACCCGCAAAAGTCGGAAACTCCTTCTCCTGTGCCAGGTGAAACCCTCAGCTCCACCGCAACAATAACGTCAAAAATTTCGGGGATACTCCATCAGCATAGTGTAGTTCGTAGGTTCGCCCCCCTTATTTAGCCAGAAGCCGTCGATTAATAAATCGACACTGCTACTTGGTGGGAATGGTGATTTCCAGGCGACGTAGTTGAGCGAGTAGCAGCCCGTACGTCGCTAACCCATCTGCTCCAGTGCTCCCGTCGTTCTTCTCCCAAAGCTTCAGCTCCTGACAGTTAACGCATTCAGCGACCGGTGGAAAAACACTTAATACACACCCGGGGGTGGTGGCCTCCGTGTCCGTTGATCGTGAGGGTATGAATCGCTGGTCCACGAAAAATGCCTCCCCACGAGGGAAGTCGCCCTCGCTGAGTACACTCACTCCAGCACAGCGTCATCACCTCCAGATGACCGTCGTGGTGAATAGTGCCGAGGTCGTTAATCTCAGCTGCTCCCACACAACTTCACACTCACACGTTTTCGTGCGATCGTGTCGTTCCGAAATTGTCGAATCCGCCCATTGCCGAAATAGTGTTGAAGTCTCGTCCATCGCCTGAAACTAGCCTGCCGGAAACGCCGGGACCCGCGACACAGCTACAGTTCACCCTGCCGCTGCATGGCGTGCCAGACGTACATCGCCGTACATCCCGCCATTTTCGCCACCCCGCGCGCTCCTGACGACCAACTCCCGGCCGCTTGAGGACTCCCGTGCACTTGTCTTCTCCTGACGAAGCCTTCACTTTTTTCGGAAGCCAATCCGAAGACTCCGTCCAAACACTCAAAAATCACGAAAGCTCTAGCAAACATACCCGAAAAACACTGCGAAAGCGTCGCCATCTCTTCGACGTGAAATAATTCCGTCTACGCCCAGGGAAGGGGAGGACTGGCTAATCCCAGCTGTCCATCGGACAGGATCTGACGGCATCGGCAACGTCCGCGCAATTAATCTCCGCGACAACCGCTCGCTATCAGCATCCTTCCGCCCCATTCCCCGATAGGGTCTGCTCCCCTACTGGAAGCCTGATGGGCAGGAACGTAGCACTGATACCAGTTGTTATGAATTATAACTCAAGGGTATAGCGCAGAATACTATAGGGGAACGTGATTACAGAATGACGATAGAAATTAGGCCTATGGCTTATATATAGGGTGAGTTGACCAGGTTGAATGTCGAGGGTTGGACCAGTCAAGGGCTCGATAGTCCCGAGGGTGACGTGGTCAAAATGGGTTCGAGGTGACTCGGGATAAGGTTGGGGCCGAAAAGGTCGACGGGGGCTGGTTTGGCGCGAGAACCAAGGGCCGAGCCTGCGGACCCGAGAGGTTCGCGTGTACTCGCTGTGGCAAGCCCGAGTAAGGAATCGTAATTCCTTATATGAAGATTGTGAGCTGAGAGGTGATAGTTTGCACGAGAACGAAACGGCACTTTGACACGCCTTGCGACAACTGTGCGACAAGCACTTTTCGGAACCGTCGCCGCATCCGACACGGAGGCTGACCATGCACAGTACAGAACAGACAGGGGCCCTACATTCTGGGGAAGGGCACATTCGCCCATGGCGTACGGGTCCAAACGATTGGTGCAATTTCCAACATTCCTGGAGATTGCGTTAATGGAATATGATTTGTACTGTCCTCCTCATAAGCGAGCACACCACAAACCAGCAGATAAGGGTTCCTGGTATAGTTGTGCTGACGAGTAGCTCACTCCTTTTGCGCCTCTAGAAGTACATCATCGATACAGACGATCACAGAAGGACCTGATCGCCACGGAGGCTTTGCGTATGGAGCTCGCATGTAAGCTAATGACGCCATTCGCGATGCGACAGAGTTGGAGTACATTCGAGTTGGGAACCACGAGGGATAGGAATACGAGTTTCCACATAGACGAATGCTAGTTCTTCTGGCCGAATCCGATTATTTCACAAACTGCTTGCGAATGTCCGAGGACTTTGTCTAGAAATGACCATCGGAACTTCATATCTGGTTGCACTTAACACACGAACTTGGTCTTGCGGTTCTTGCACTTGCGTAAAGGCTGAGTGAGTCAGGAAGATTGTTTTGCCTCGTCACTCTCCTTCGCCTTCCATGTCTCGTTTAAACCTGTTCAAATAGTCTGGCTTCAAGTCGAATATCCGAGTTTTTTCGTTTAAGACTCGATTTGACTCGCCGAAACTTGTAGACCGATTCTGAATCGAGTTCCTGTCGAGTTCCCAACCTTAGCCGCATGTTTTTCTTCACGCGTGTTGAAGCGCCAAATAGGCAAGCTCGCCACCAGGTTTTCGCGCTCCCAAGATATCTTAGCTTTCCCACAAGATTCCTCGTACGAGCAGCACTTTAATCTCTCGGCTGATGCTATTGTACGAGCAGCTAGTTGTCAAATCCCCCTTCCCCTCGGATCCCCCTTTGAATTCCCTTTTAATTCCCTCTGAATCTCCTTCAGATCGCCTCTAATCCCCTTCTATCTTCCTTCAAATGCCCCTCAAATTCTTCGTCGAATCTTTTGTCAAGTCCGAGTCTAGTGAGTCGAGTCCAACCGATTCTTGGGCCCCAGGCCACCCTTAACTTGAGGGTTCTGGACTTGGACTCGTTGAACAGGTCTAGTCTCGTTGCATATCAACCAGATTGCACCCATAAGCTCCCCCCTCCCCGTTCTTTATTTCAGCTCGAATCCCGACCACATCTGATTCGATTGAAGATTTTCTCGATCCTGGGGGTCATACTTATTCTTGGATTTGAGGATTCGGATTAGTTAGTCATTCCCAGTTTCCCCTCTCGCCAGTCGTCTCTTATCCCACTGTCCGGTTTCCCCCTTCCCAATGCATCCGCTTTTCCATTTCTTTCTCCCTTTTCCTACCCGTTTTCCCCCTCTCCTTCAGCTTTCTCTCAAGCATAAGTGCTCTCAAGGGTCTGGACGACAGTCACTGTCGTTTTCCTCGCGGAGCACAATGGACAGAGATCTACCAGAAAAGCGAGTTACGCGAGCTAGGTAAAATAACGCTTTGCCTCTTTCCACCTTAGCACTCTGCCCATTGCCCTTGCCATCTTATTTCCTTATTGTTTGCCCCACCTTCGCTCACATGTTCATTTTTCTCACTAAATCTCGTTCGTACCATCAATCCCCCCCCTCCCCCCCCCAAAACCCCTATTCCCCCGCTGGTAGCAGCTCGAAACGTGCTGCTGCAAGTTGCAGTCAGAATCTCGCTCCTCCTGGTGGCGACGTTGGACCCAATCTTGCGAGTCCTACGGACATGCGCAACAACTCCGAGCGGGTAGAACGGTCTTGTTCAAACGTGAGTTATGGGAATGGATGACATCGTTCTTGAGAGGAAGAGCAAACACGCTCTGCATGCAGCATGAGCATTGTGTCATGGTGCATGTTATTCACCTCTTCACAAGCGCCGCTGCTAGATTTCTGTAACCTTTGTGCTGTTGGTGCTGTCATTGCAGAAATATGGCACGAACGTGTTCTTCCTAGATGGAAAGCAAAGGGTGGTTGAGTTTACAGTGTCCACAACAGTTGGTGACGTTCTAAATGTAAGTAAGACTACGAATTTGAGTTTGATGTGTTGCTTGAAGTGCACATGCGATGGTGAAACACGGAAGCTCTGCCACCTTAATTCTCTCATAAAAATGTGTTCTTGTTGATTGTGTTTGGCGCAGGGTGTGGCCAGCACTGTCAGCGTGGAGAAGTTTCCAACCTTGGCGCTGTATCTACAGAGGTACCGCGCCCCCGATGCGCGCGATGCACTTTCAACAAGTGAGTTATTTGCATGGTGGTGAGCAGTGGGTATACCACGTATGACTCATGCGCACACCTCAGGCATGAGACACTAAACACATATCCACAAACCCCATGAACAAGAAAAAGCGAGTGCAATCGCCATGACGTTCACCTATTTACCAGTCACCTGACTTCCAACCATACTCACTAATGATTTCAGCAAGTCTAAGTGAAGTGAATGTCACCCGTTTTCTATTGAACAGGTGATTATGTGAGGATTGATGAGAAGACCTTGATGGCGGATGTGGTGACGGACGTGGCAGGCGTTAGGCAGAGGAGCAATGGACGAGTGCGGGCAAGACTATTATTTCACCAGAAATTCTCTGGAGTAACCGATGGGACTATGACCGATTTCGTCTTCCTTTATCTCACATACACCCATGTAAGTAAAATTTCCCGATGCCGAATGCAATGATGCAATCCCGTGGTTAAACGAGGTTCTTCATCTTCACTCTTCCCCCCCATGTAGCTTCTTGCTAGTTTGTCCAAATCTAGGAGAAGCTCATGGCGTTGCTCATATGTTCCCGTCATTCCCACCAATCCCCTGCATTCTGCCCCATCCCCCCACCCCCAATTTCTTCCCACCTCCCCCACCTCGCCCTCTTCTCCCGCTCCTCCTTCCCTCGCCCCGTTTTCCACCCTGGGCAGATGGAGCAATTGCGGCAGCAAGCGTTTGTTGGGAGGGACGAGTTGATGGGGGTGGTGCAGCAGACCTGGAAGGTGGAGGAGCGATTGCAGGCGGCGGTGAAGGAGAAGGAAGCGCTGCTGGAGCGATCCAAGGAGGAAACCGCGAGAGTGCAGAGTGAGGTGAGTGCTGTCGCTTTCGCTAGCTAGCTATCAGGAGCGATGGCAGTCAGGGCTGCAGGCAAGGCAGTCAGGTCTGGAGGTAGGGCAGTAAAATTTTCCCGTCAGGTCTGCAGGTATTCAGAGTGGTAGGGGGTGCAACCGAAAGTGCACGGAATACAATTGTGTTAATACCTGAGGCGTGCACACTGGAAAGGGCAGCTGACCACTACTGCTAGCAAAACATGATATGAGCCCGTGTCTCCCCTTCCCCGCCCCCCTCCTTTCTCTTCTCCCTCTCCTTCCCTCTCCTTCCCCCGTTGTCGCCCGTTTCTCCGCCCTTGGCAGCTGAAGGCATTGCAAGAGAGTACGGCTGCAGAGAGGAGTGCGCTGGAGGCCAAGGTGCGGCAGGAGGAGGAGTTGAGGAAGACGGAGACTCAGGTCGCGGCGAGCGAGAGGCAGGCATGGGAGGCGAGGCTTGGGGACCTCGAGCATGCCAAGGCGGAGGAGGTAGGATGCTTGAACCTGCTCGGCTAGGGCTGCAGGGTATGCCGGCAGGGTTGCAGTAATGCAATTAGGGCTGCAGGGTATGCAATCTGGTCTGCAGGTAAGGCAGTCAGATCTGGTAAGGCAATCAGGTCTTCAGGTTAGGCGCCTACGATTGCCAGCTAAAACGTATGAGCGTAAGACGTCCCTTCTCCACCCCCTCCTCCTCCCTCTCCTCCCTTTCCCCTCTCTCCTCCCTCCTTTGTTGCCCTTTTTGCTCCCCGTGGCAGGTAGAGCAGCTGCAGCGGCGTGCTGGTGCGGAGATGCGTGGGCAGGCAGATGCGCTGGAGCAGAGCCAGCAGGTGGTGGCGCAACTGCAGGAGCAGGTGCGGCAGAGTGAGGGGCTGCTGGAGCGCTCCTCAGAGCAGACCTCCGAGGCGCGCAGTGCGGTGAGTGCAGCCTCTGACGTGACCTTGACCATGCTGCTAGCTATTGCACTCAATGGAGATGCACCCGATGTGCATCCGAGGGAATGCAGTTAAAGGAGTCCAGTTTAGGAAATGCGTCTGAGGCTGCAAAGGTTACAGCGAAGGCTGTGAGGGGGTTGAAGGAATGCAGTTAAAGGAATTCAGTTTAAGGAACCCCCCCTAGCAGGGGTAACCTGGGAAGGCGACTCGGAGGGAGAAGATTTGGTCGAATCCCCTGCCCGAGGCGCGAATATGACAGCACATTCCACGCGACTGGCCGCCCCATCCAATACCCGCCGCGGTCCAGCAGGTTCCTGCGGCTGCTGCCCCTGGCTCGACTCTCATACGGCAGGCCCTCATCACACCTCCTGGACCCCGCCTACGTCACCCCATCTCTCAGCAGCGAACGAGGGGTGCGGCAGAGAGACCCCCTGGGTCCCCTACTATTCAGCATGGCCATACACCCGGCCTTGAAGCAGACGGCGGAGGAGTACCCGAACGTCCTCACGCTTGCATATGTGGACGACGTCACCTTCACTGAGACGCCGTCCGAGAGCGCTGCTGCCTTCTACGCCTTCAGCCGCCGCATTGCAGCAGCAGGCCTCCAATGCAACCCCACGAAATGTGGGGCCTGGTCAGCAGTAGAGGCGGACCCTGAGCACATCCCAGCGGGGGTACCGATCCAAGCAGACGCTGTGCGCATCCTCGGCAGCCCCATCAGGACGCCGTCAGGGTGCGAGCGCCTGATGAAGGCCGCTTTGCTCAAAGCAGCCTCAGCGCTTCCGCTTCTTGAACAGCTCCAGCCGCAGTTCATGATGCTGCTACTCAACAAATGCGTCACGCGGCGAGCCTTCTACTTGCTCCGCACGACGCCGCCAGGCACGCTCCCGCCCCAGGACTGGACAGCATGGGGCAAACGTCTCCTGGCTGCCGCCCTGACTGCCTGCGACCTGAAGCAGCCACACGCACCAGAAGACCAGGCTGCGCAGGTCACACCAAGGCTGCAAGGGATGCAGTCATGGGAATGCAGCCAAGGATCCAGAGGAACCAGTCAATGTGGCAGCAATTGCGTGCAGTCACGTCTAGACCCAGTGTGGTGGACAGCAGTCCACTGGTGTTAGCTTGAACTCCCCCTCCCTCTCCTTGCAACGTCCCTCTCCTCCCTCTCGTCCCTCTCGTGTCGCCCCTTTTTCCACCCTTGGCAGGTGGAGCGTTCGGCTGCGGAGTCGCGTCGGCTGGCTGAGGCACTGAAGCAGAGCCAGCTGGTGGTGGCGCAACTGGATGCGCAGTTGAAGATGAAGGATGCGCATCTAGAGCAGCAGGTGCGGCAGATTGAGGCGCGCAGTGAGGTGAGTGCAGCCACTGACGTGACTTTGACCGTTTTCCGAAATATGTGAGCCCTCTCTTCCCCCCTCCATCCCTCATCCCCCTTTTCCCACCCCCCTTCCTTTGTGTCGTAACAGTGCTCCTACCCCGTGCCCGCTCTTACCCATTCAGCTCAAGGAGGTTCGGGATGAGCTGAGCAAGATGCACAGAAACATTCCATGCTTATCCATGCTTGCCCATTTCTATATAACCTACTGTTCCCCGTCACCATCCCATCCCCAGACAAGGGCATGGGAGCAAGAGAGGAGCGAGGCAGCGGCAGAAATAGCAAGGGCAGTCAGCAGAGCACTGGTGGAGAAGGTGGGAGATGTTGAGGCACAGCACGGCGCCCTCGAGAGCGCCCTCGCTGCCAAGGAGGCTGTCTGGGCCGATGATCGGAGGGCGTTTCTTGAGTCCATTGAGCGCCTGCAGCGCCAGGAGGTGGAGGCGAAGCATCTCCAGGGGCAGGCGGAGGCTGGGCAGGAGCAGGCGCTGCAGGAACGCTCCAGGGTGCAGAGCGAGGTGAGATTTTCACCCTTGCGATGTAGAGTGCTCGAGGGAGAGGCCCCCTGAGTTGCAGGCTGGGGGGATGTTGTCACGCGTTCAAATAGTGCAGCTGAAGAAACATGAGGCCCCCTTTCCCCGCCTCTCTCCTGCCTCTCGTCCCACCCTTGTTGTCCGTTTCTCCTCGCTTGGCAGATGGAGGAGGTGCGGCGACAGGTGAGGAGAGGGAGAAGGCGGAGGCAGGGCTGCAGGAGGCACTGAAGGAGAAGGAGCAGCAGTTGGAGCGGTCGGTGGAGGAGGCTTCAAGAGTGCGCAGTGAGGTGAGTGCACAAGCCTTGATGTGCGATTGGCCTCCCCTGTTAGCTGCTGCGCTCGATGAAGAGCAGCAGCAGCAGCAGCATGTGGTCACGTGCTCCCACCATCCAACCATTTACCCGCATTTTGACCCGTCTTCCGACCCTGCACCCTTCCACCTTCCATCCCCCCACCTCCCCCACTTCCATGCTACTCCTTGTCCCTCTCTTCTCTCTCCTTCCTTTGTCCCCGCCTTGTCCACTCTGGGCAGGTGGAGCGGCTGCAGCAGCAGGCGTCTGCCAGTGGGAACTATTTAATGGAGGTGGTGCAGCAGAGCTGGGAGGTGGAGGAGCGGTTGCAGGCGGCGGTGAGGGAGAAGGAAGTGCTCCAGAATCGCTCCCAGGAGGACACCGCCAGGGCGCAGAGTGAGGTGAGTGTGCTATCCACTTCTTCTAGCTAGAGTGTAGAGGCCTCTGGGTTGCGTAAAGGCTGCAGGCAATCTATGTCCCCCTTTCCCCCTTCCCTTCGTCCCCTCGCTCCTCCATTTCCTCCCTCTCATGCCTCTGCTCCTGCCCCGCCCTCGTTTGCCGCCCCTTTCTCCAACGTTGGCAGAGGCAGGGGCTGCGGCAGCACGCGGACGCGCTTACTACGAGGGTGGAGGAGAGCCGCAGGGTCGAGGCTCAGCTGAGGCAGGAGTTGGCGAACGAGAAGCAGCTGAGGGGAGGGGCGGAGGAGAGGGAGGCGCAGCTGAAGGGTGCGGTGGAGAAGGAGGCGGTGCTGAGAAGAGAGGCGGAGGAGAGGGAGACGCAGCTGAAGGGTGCAGTGGAGAAGGAGATGGTGCTGAGAAGAGAGGCGGAGGAGAGGGAGACGCAGCTGAAGGGTGCAGTGGAGAAGGAGATGGTGCTGAGAAGAGAGGCGGAGGAGAGGGAGACGCAGCTGAAGGGTGCGGTGGAGAAGGAGATGGTGCTGAGAAGAGAGGCGGAGGAGAGGGAGACGCAGCTGAAGGGTGCGGTGGAGAAGGAGGCGGTGCTGAGGAGAGAGGCGGAGGAGAGGGAGACGCAGCTGAAGGGTGCGGTGGAGAAGGAGATGGTGCTGAGAAGAGAGGCGGAGGAGAGGGAGACGCAGCTGAAGGGTGCAGTGGAGAAGGAGATGGTGCTGAGAAGAGAGGCGGAGGAGAGGGAGACGCAGCTGAAGGGTGCAGTGGAGAAGGAGATGGTGCTGAGAAGAGAGGCGGAGGAGAGGGAGACGCAGCTGAAGGGTGCAGTGGAGAAGGAGATGGTGCTGAGAAGAGAGGCGGAGGAGAGGGAGACGCAGCTGAAGGGTGCGGTGGAGAAGGAGGCGGTGCTGAGGAGAGAGGCGGAGGAGAGGGAGACGCAGCTGAAGGGTGCAGTGGAGAAGGAGATGGTGCTGAGAAGAGAGGCGGAGGAGAGGGAGACGCAGCTGAAGGGTGCGGTGGAGAAGGAGGCGGTGCTGAGGAGAGAGGCGGAGGAGAGGGAGACGCAGCTGAAGGGTGCAGTGGAGAAGGAGATGGTGCTGAGAAGAGAGGCGGAGGAGAGGGAGACGCAGCTGAAGGGTGCAGTGGAGAAGGAGATGGTGCTGAGAAGAGAGGCGGAGGAGAGGGAGACGACACTACAGGAGGAGTTGAGTGGGAAGGAGGTGCAGCTAAGGTCAGAGGTGGAAGGGAAGGCGGTGCTGCTGGCGGCGGCTTCCGCGGCGCAGCGTGAAGTGAGTTTTCAATTCGCTCTTTCTACCTAAGGATATACGAGCACCAGCGTCCCCCATCGACCCCCTGTCCCTCGGCTCCCCTCCCCTTGTCCCACCCCCTTTTCTTTTAAGTCTCAACATTGCTCTTCCCACTTGCCGACTTCTACCCATTCAGCTCGAGGAGCTTCGGGAGAAGCTGAGCAAGTTGCAGAGGGAAGCGCTGGAGCGGACGCGTGCAGCTGAGGAAGCGGGGCAGAAGTGGGAGGTGAAGCGCCTTGAAGTCGAGCTAGAGAATGTTAGAAAGGTGGAATCCCTCTCTTCCTTGATTGGAATATCTCCTTTACCTGCCCACATGCTTGGTTATTGAAACGAGACATGTGAGTCAAAACTCGGTGGTCGGGGAACAATATATTTCAAGCTGCCTGGTGGGTGAGAGGGGGTGAGAGGGGGAGATAAGGGGTTGAGAGCACACTTTTAAGGCGCCTAAGTAACAGAAGGAACTATGCTGTGTGAGTCAAAACTCAGTCACTGCCTTGGCCAATGGCCATGCCTTGCTTCCCTGATTGTGTTCCTTGCTTGCTTCCCAATTAAGCACCTCAGGCCCAGTGCTGTTGTTTTCATGCTCTTATGCGTTTATTTCCCCGCTCTTCGTTAATTTCCTCGGTAGTATGTATGTATGACCTCCCTCTTTCCCTTGCCTTTTCCTTGTGTCTCATCCTTCTTCCTTGACCCGGTTGACACATTCAGCTCGATGAGGTTCAGAAGGAGCTGAGCAACACGCGGAGGGAGCTGAGCAACGCACGGGGTGAAGCACTTGAGCAAGCAGGGGCAGCTGGGAAAGAGAAGGAAGCGTTGCTGGAGGAGCTTTGGGGTCTCAGGCTCAAAATGAAAAGCAAGGTAAGATGCCTGGATTTCTTGGTGTCCTTACTTACCTCACCGGCACACAAGCTTCCGTGTGCTAGGCTCGGTCTGCTATCGTTTTCATGCTCTTCTGATACTTATTTCTCTGTGTGCACCCGTTGGCGCTATGCGACTCGTGTTGGAACATGTGTCTCATTCGCTTGGTGTTGTGTACACAGACTGCCAGGTGTGCTGGCTGATGCGAGCTACTTTACATATCAACGCCCTACCTTTTCCCTGACTTCTCCCTCCCACCCCAGGAGTTGGCGGTGGCGAAAGAAACGGCTGAAGCGAGGGCAGCAGAAGGAATGGCAGCAGGGGCTGTGGTGGCAAGCCTCGAAAGGGCGGTGAAGGAGGCAGAACGGTTGGAAGTGGAGTTAAAGGCCTCCAAGAGTTTAGCTGCACAGGTATGTGCCAAAACTGTTTCTTTGCAAACAGGAATTCGCTGCCCATTCTTTTGGTCCCGTGTGCTTCTCACCATGCATTCTCATTTTCCACTTGGGCACCCTTATAATCCATAACTTTGCCACTTTCAGTACAAGGCAGACAAGGAGGAATTGGAGCGGGTGTTACAGCAAGAGAGAGCATCAGCAGCCAAAGCGGAGGAGCTTAGAGGCCAGCTGAGGGAGGCAACATGTTCCGCAGAAGCTCTGGCAACCCGTGGAATGGCAGAGGCAACGCTGAGGGAGGAGTTAGAGGAGAAGGAGGCGGATCTACAGAAGTTTCGCAAGCAAGTGGAGGAGTTGCGTGCATCGGAGAAGGTCAGTCAATGCTTTTGGGAGAAGCACATTGGAATGCCTGCTGCCTTATTGTTTTAATCCCGCTATCTTCGTCTTAAGCCTAAATTGCACTTCTCTTCTCATTGTGTATGTATTATTCAGCGGCTCGACGTTAAGGTCAAGGACCTGGAGAAGCAGTACAACGAAGAGGTTTCGAAGCGGAGGAAGCTCCAAGGTGAGTGGTCCTCATTGCTGTAGGTTTTCTTAAGTATTTTTCTGAATGAGCATTTGATTAACAAAGAAGTGCATTTGGCCCTTGAGTGGGGTTCTTGACGTGGTCCTTTCATGTTTCATCTTTCTCTCTGTAATCTGCCATCCTTCACCCCTCTTTTGGCCCCTTCTTCCCCCCATGGCTGCAGACTCAATGGGGAGCATTCGCGGAATTGTACGGTGCCGCCCGCTGAGTGCTGAGGAGGAGAGTACTGGGCACATGCCGGTAGTCACGTGCTCGGATAAGTTCACAGTGGAGCACTCGGGGAAAGATGGAGAGCTAAAGAGCCATCCCTTTTACCGCGTATATGATCCAACCGCCACCCAAGCCAACGTTTTCGAGAGCGTTGAGGTACGAGTTTTTCTTACCCATTTTAGCCGTTTGTTTTGCCATCCTCTTCTTCTTGAATTAACGCTCAACCTTCCTCGTGCTTTCCCTGCCCCCCTGTCGCCCCCAGGACCTTGTGGAAGCATCGCTGGACGGATTCAACGCCTGCATCCTCGCGTATGGACAGACTGGGAGCGGCAAGACCTACACCATGTGTGGGAATGAGGCACAGCCCGGCCTCATTCCACTTGCTGTTCGCAAGATCTTCAACAGTCGTGATAAGAGCCCTGCCCATGTGACCATCGAGGTGCAGGTAAGCCAATTTGTGCTTAGAATCTCGTTCCGGAAAGAAAAGTCCAAGCCGGTCATTGACCCATGTGTTCTTCTCTCGCCTCCTGTTTTTCTCTCGCCTCCTCTTTTCCGCACCTCCCGTTTTCCTCACCTGTTATTCCCCACCTCTTATTCCCCACCTCTTATTCCCCACCTGTTATTCCCCACCTCTTATTCCTCACCTGTTATTCCCCACCTCTTATTCCTCACCTGTTATTCCCCACCTCTTCTTTTGGACCTCCTGTTTACCCCCACATCCAGGTTCCCCCACCTTTTTTTCTCCCACCTCCGGTTTTTCCTCACCTCTTGTTTTCCTCCTCCTGTTTTTCTCTCACCTCCTATTTTTTACCTGCCTACCCTCCCAACTCCCCCCCCCCTCCCCCTCCCCCCTCCCCTTTCCCCTGTTTCCTTTACCTCCTGTTTTCCTCGGCCTCTGTTGTCCAGCACCCCCTATTTTTCCGTACACCACCCCCCTACTGTGCAGGTGTTCATTCGGGAAGTTGAAGAGCACGCCTTGCAGAAGCTTCATGCAGTCCATTTTGCTGGCAGGCTTTTCATATCGCTTCTTTCCTCCCCATATGCCCACACATGCAGGTATGTATGCTGGAGCTCTACCTCAAGGATGTGCTCGACCTGCTGGACCCCAAGGACCCCAAGAACCCAGCGGGCATCAGTGTGACCGGAAAGGTGTGTGGAGAGCATTAACCTCCTGCATCACTAACCCACCACCTGTCGTGTTTTCTCGCCCGTGCTGTTGTGCGTTCACATGTCTGAGTTGTTCCATTTCCCACTCTCTGCACTCTCCAGAGGCAGGTGAATCTGAAAAACGTCACTCTATTTCCAGTGGAAAGCGCGTCAAGGCTGGAGCAGTTGATTCAAGAGGGAATTGGGAGGCGGCAAGTGGACGGAACGGAAATGAATGCCGCAAGCTCGCGCTCGCACATGCTACTAAGCATTGTTATTAAAACCTACAACAATTTAACGAAGAGGACCCACACGGGGAAGGTAAGAACGAAAAGGCGAGAGGAGGAGCAGCAGCAAGTGACAGTGAAAGCGGGAGAGAGATTACAAAGGGGGCAGGAGAGGAGGGCAAGAGGGCTGGAGCGAGGTAGATGGAGAGAGAAGCAAGAGGGGGAGGGGAGGGAGGGCCGAAGGGAGAGAAAGCAAGTGAGAGAGCTTGAGGAAGCATAACATGTTTCTTCTCGCCACCCCTTCGCTCAATTGGTCCTTGTATTAGATAGGGGAAGTACAGGCAAAGCAGCAAGTGTATTACAGTGAGCTCTACCCTCCCCTTTCCTCCCTTCTGTCCTCCCTGTCCTGTTTCAGCTCTCTTTTGTGGACCTCGCCGGGTCCGAAAGTCTCAAGGCGTCGGGAGCACAGGGGAAGCTGGTAACGGAGACCACACACATCAACTCGGGGCTGTCGTTCCTGAATCTAGTCATTCTGGCGCTGAAGAACGGATACAGCCACATCCCCTACGGCAACGACAATCTCACAAGGGTGTTGGCAGATTCTTTGGGCGGAAACTCAAAGACGCTGATGATTGTCAACATTTCACCATCCAACAAATACCTTGAGGAGACAGAGAAGTCGCTAAGGTAGGCAGGGAGGCAGGGAGGCAGGGAGGTAGGGAGTGAGGGAGTGAGGGAGGGAGGGAGGGATGGAGGTAGGGCGGGGAGGAGGGAGAGAGGGAGGTAGTTAAGGGGTGGTGGTGGAGGGCAGGGAGGGAGGGAGATAGGGAGGGGACGAAGGAGACAGGCAGAGGTAGGGAGGGAGGGAGTCAAGGAGGGGGGGAGGGAGACGACATGTCCCCAAATCTCTTTCGCTCTCTTAACTTCCCGTCGTTCCCACGGTAATCCTTGTGTGCAGTTATGGCGTTCTTGCGCAATGCATCATCAATACGGCAAGCAGGAACGTGGGAGCCACAAAGAAGTGACTTCGCTAAGACAGTTCGAGGCAGGTTGGGCTCCATGTACATATACCCACCACACCCTCTTCAGTGTACAGATAGTAGACTAGTTAGTATGTGCCAGGGAGAAATCAATAATTATATCTGCTGATTGAGTGGTACACATAGTTATAAAATAACCAAGGTTGGCAGTCGCTGATCATATCATAAAGCATGCTGACCTGGCACATGGGAATGTTTTCTGGATGTATTGGTCCCTTTCTCTTCACCTTGCTACATACTCCAGAGATATAAGGCATTGCGAGCGTAGGTGGCACCATGAAAAGCATGACCCATCGCGTTAGAAGCAAGTCACTACGGGCTCAACAGCACCATGGAGACAAGACGACCCCAGCCTGCCACAGTGACCTACAGTACAGTCAAGAAGGTGGGCTTCCGCTGGTCGGGCCAGGAGAGAGAGTTCTATTCTATACGCTCTAATCACTTTCCTACATTCCCAGCACTTGAGCCCAGATAATCAGCACAATGCAGAGGGAGATAATATATCTCCATGTACATGTGTTTTAGCCCATGTGGTCCATGTCAACTGCATCATTGGTAGGCTCCCCAACACACATGCTCAAACTCGTTGTCGTCTGCACACAGACAGACAGACGGGAAGAGGCACGCATGCACAGGCAGGCGGAGAGCAGGCTAGACAAGGCAAGAAAAGTGAAAGGGTCTTGATGATCCAAGCAAGCCCATCAGTTCTATTGTTTGGGTATGTGCGGCAAGTGCAGGCATGCACACATGCATTGGGGCATCAATGAGACGAGCAGATTGATCCACGTGGTTGGATAACACAGCAGCGTTCGTGTGATGTGGATGGCATGGGAGCTTCTTGCCTTACCGATCACACGGCCTTACTTCTCACCAACGTGGTGCAGCTACAAATACCAGTCAACCACCTTGCTCTTCTTGCCTTACCTTTGCATGTCCCCCTTACTTTCTGCTCCGCCAGTAGCCGCAGTAGTAGCCAGGCTCTGAAGTGGTTGCTGCTGGTAGCTGGAGATGGGGGCGGGAGATGGGTCTAGATGGTGCTGAGAGGAAAAGGGGATGATGAGGAGGGGGGGGGGAAGAGGGGAAAAGGAGAGAGGTGTGTGCAGCAGGAGTTTGGAGGAAGGAGGTTGTAGCGAGGTTGTTCTTTTGTGCACCCTTGGGCAGGCGAATGGAACCCGAGTTGGAGCAAATGGGGAAGCGAAGGTCAGGGCACAATCACAAACGAGGGGAGGCTGGTGGCGTGCAACATGTGTACAAACTCTGACAATGCACAGTGGGCACAGTGGAGGGGGATGTGGGGGGCACTCTGGGCAGGGACGTGGGGCGGATAAGGTCAATCAGAGATAGTAGGGGGGACAGCGGGGAGCAAACGGAGGGGGTTTGAAGGGGGAACACGGAGGGGGCTCCCGAGGCGCAAAAAAAGGCGGACGTACCGTGCAGTGCAGTGGCGAGGGCGGAGGGAACAGGTGGGGGGTATGCAAGGGCGTGGCATGGGAATGCGGAGTGAGGGGGTGGGGGAAAGCAAGGGTCCGGCTGGAGGGAGGAACTGTGTGACGGGGGAGGGGGAGGAGGGAGGGGAAGGGGAGAGGGGAGAGCCTTGGCACGGCGTGGAGGAAACGGAGTGTGACGGGGCGGAGGGAGGGGAAGGCATGGGCGTTCATACAAGAGAACGGAGTTTGATGGTCGGGGGTAAACGGGGGAGAGCGTGTGGGGAAAGCTCATGCAATGGCACAAGGCAAAGCGAGGGTGGGGGCCGAAGCGATGGCATTGGCACGGGCAAACGGAGGGAAAGGGTGGGGGGAGAAGCGATGACATGGTATGGGGAAACGGTGCTCCAGTGTGGGGGGAGTGTGCGGCCACGGCAGGGGCTTCCTGCCGTGTGAGGAGGGGAGGGGAGGGGGGGAGAGGGGGGGGGGGTGGAAGGGAGGGAAAGCGAGGCACGGCATGGGCTAGCCGAGTGTGAGGGTGGGGGGGGAAGCGAAGGCATGGGCACTCGAATAGTTGAGTGTCTAGCCGGCGCGGTTACCCGTAGAGCAGGGCGTGACTGCAGCTGCTTTCCCGCTGGACCCCTGTTTCTTGGCTTTCATGCGTGGTTCGTCTTGGCTGCGTCAAGTCACCTCATGCGTGGGTCGGCTTCATAACCGAATGGCGTGGTGCGTTAGAGCCGCCAGGAGTGCGCTCAGTTCCAGCCGCCTTCGTCGGCCCCGCCACTCGCCCGATAGAGAGAGTACCGAGGACACTTGGTAGTGACGCGCTGCCCCCCCCCCCACCCGACATGAAGCGCCCCTCCCCGCGCCCTCTCCGCCGTGGCGGGTGCTCCCTTACCGCCCGCGCGGCCCCTCAATGGGCGCGGGGCGTTTCTCTTCCGCTCGCCGTGCAGCGCGCCACTGCCGTGGGGCGTTCTGGTGGCGCGTTGCGAGTTTCGTCGCCAGCGAGGGCCCCGTCACGCGCGCTGGTGGCTGGGGGTGTGCTCGGCCCCACACAGCTTCGCACATATATCGCAGTCGCCCAGCGGATTCGTCGCCTAGTGATTCGTCGCCAGCGATTCGTCGCCCAGCGATTCGTCGCCCAGCGATTCGTCGCCCAGCGTCGCAGAACGATGTGGTGTCACGGTTTCTGGAGGTCACGCGATGCTGGCTGACGTGCCACGGGGCGCCGAGCGTGCGGCGAGTTGGCTGCGCGGGGGTGAGGGCGGACTGCCAGCGCGACCAGCTGCTACTGGGTTGCGATGCGATCTCCCATGCACCGACGACGCCGTCGAGTGCGCGAGGCGGTACCGAACAACGAATGGTTTTAAACGCGGAGGGCCGCAGTATCGGTGTGCTGCGTGCCAGACGAACGCAGACAGCAGCCAGACGGAGTGTGGCCTGCGGACAAAAGCAAGGCGGCGTGTAAAAGGCTAGGGTGGGCAAGGCTGGACAAACGAACCATGGTCTGCGGTGTAGGGGATGGGTGGAACAGAAAACCAGCGCCTGGGGCAGGAGAGTCATACTCGCTATCATGCTGCTCGTGGTGGTTCAGAGTGTTTCCGCAAATCTGTGGATAACGGAAATTGGAATGTTCTAAAGAAGCAAATGATTCAAACCAACGAAATGCCGTGGTAACGAACAGTAATTTATGAAATAGTAGCAAGAAAACCTAAAGCTACTGAAAACACCCCATAAGCCACAACATGCTGCCAATAGCAGAGGAAGGAGACGTGCAGACGCCAACACTCCTTGGTTGAGGCGTCATGGCAGCCGCAGAAGAGGGGGAAGTTCAGTTGCAAAGGTCTCTCAATGAATGTGTCATGTCACGTCACGGCATCACGATTCACAATCTGGTTCGTCAGCGCCTCCCCTTCGCTTCTTGGCAGCCGCAGAAGAGGGGGACGTTCAGTTGCAAAGGTCTCTCAATGAATGTGTCATGTCACGTCACGGCATCACGATTCACAATCTGGTTCGTCAGCGCCTCCCCTTCGCTTCTGACGAGGTGCTCCTTCCAGCAGCATGCTTGACCTTGGCAGGGAAGAGGGAGGTGCAGCAAGAAAACGAGAAGACGGGATGAAGACGGGATGGGTGGAGAAAGAGGGAAGGAGGGGAAGGAGGAGGGATGATTAGGGTGTTAAAAAAGTAGTTAAGAAGGCTAGGCTAGGAAGCCATGAGAGGGCGAGAGGTTTTAGCTAGGGAGAAGTTACGAGAGGAAAGAGAATTGGACTAGAAGAGAAAGAGAAACAAGAAGGGGGGGGTGTTCTCTCTACAGTAGGATCCAGCAATGTAGCACATCTGCCAAGCCTAAACAAATATATATATATATATATACATAATATTATTTGATACACCCCCTAGGCTTAGTATTCGAAAGCCCACCCCACATGCAACACCCCCAAACCCGTGCACCCCCATGCCCTTCAGCAGCTGTGGCATCTACCCCTCGTGCGAAGCGGTGACACCTTTGGCGGGTGGTAGAAAAGGCGTCTGCAGCGGAACGACGACGACAGCGGCGACGGCGGAGCGGGTGGCGCCGGCTACACCTGCGGCGGCGGCAGCGGCGACAACTGCTAAGCTCGCGGCATCCAGCGGTGTGGCACGACCCGGCGACGCCCGGGGGGCGTGGCTTTAGCGAGGCGCCCTAGCTAACGCACTGGCTGTTGTGCGGGCGTACCGCAGGCGCCTGAAACATTGCGCGACCCGCTGCCGCCCGTGCGATGACGCGTCGATGACACCACGGCAGCATAACGACGCCGTCACGGCGCGGCGTCGATGCCACTGCAGCACGACGACGCCACCACGGCGTGGCGTCGACGCCACGGCAACGCGTCGAGGCTGCCACGGCAGCACGACGAAGCCGCCATGGCAGCACGACATGGCTGCCACGGCGGCGCGGAAATGACAGGAGGGAGGAGAGTACGCTGCGGAAGCGTAAGGAGAAGGCCCGAGCGGAAGGGCCTGCTCTGAAACCATGTTTAAAAAAGTAGTTAAGAAGGCTAGGCTAGGAAGCCAGGAGAGGGCGAGAGGTTTTTGCTGGGGAGAAGTTACGAGAGGAAAGAGAATTGGACTAGAAGAGAAGGAGATACAAGAACGGGGGGTTGTCCCCTCTACAATAGGATCCAGCAATGTAGCACACCTACCAAGCCTAAACAAATATATATATATAATATATATTATTTGGCAAAGGGTGCCATCAAGAGGGAAAGGGGAGAGGACTTATGGCAAACCCAGCACGCTGACTGTTTTCCACGCCTAGCCTTTTAGATTCGCCTCCAAATCAATGCACTGCACCACCATCCTCCCATTTCTGAGAGGCATAAGATCAATATTGACCCAACAAACCATAGCCATAACCATCATCTTATCGAGACCATAAAGCGGTAACTCACACGAGTTCTTTCCCTGATTGTAGTGGTCCACGAGGAGCAGCAACACTAACGTGCACACCAACCGTGGTTGTACAGCCAGTAGCGGCAGCAGCAGCAGCTGTGAGTGGTATAGCGAGGAGGAATAAGGGCTGCAGCACAAGAATACGCACGGTTTCAGGCAGGGAGGAGCATGGGTTAAAGCACAGATCACAACATGGGACAAAGCAAGATCATGCATGGATTGAAGTGCAGTGAGGCACATGAGAAGCACGCAGAGATGAAGTGGCCAGCGCACCTGAAGAGGCAGTGGCATGGGGGACAGCTGATGCAACAGCCCGCCGGGCACGAGAGGATGATGCACGAGGAGCAGCAGCAGTGGCTGTGACAAACACAGCAGGAGCGGTGGCAAGAACAGCTGTAGCTACTGCTACAGGTGCTGGGACAGCAAGTGTAGCTGCTGCTGCAAGTGCTGGGACAGCAAGTGTAGCTGCTGCTGCAAGTGCTGGGACAACAGGTGTAGCTGCTGCTGCAGGTGCTGGGATAGCAGGTGTAGATGGACTGTCAGCAACAGTAGAAGCAGGGGGGGCAGGATTGGCTGCAGCTGCTGGCGCACCCATGGCTGATGTGCTAGTTGAATCCTAACCCCGGAAAGGTATGAGGTGGGGGTAGCCAAAGAAAGAAAGAGGGAGAGACATGATAAAGGAAAGGGGGTTCAAGAGTGCAGATAAGGGAACTGATGCATTAAATGGCCAGGTAAATTATTTGTGCAACAAGGGAGTGTTATAAAACTTGAAAAGCATTGAATGCTGTGAAACTCAAAGCATTGCACAACTCTGTCTAGTACTATGTCGGCCATATTGCAACATGGAAACAGCCCCCGCAGGAGCAGGAGAACTCACAGACTGAGAAGACGAATTGATGTCAGATACCTCGTGGTGATTAGCAATCAGAGTGCCACATATTATTCCCTCCTCCATCCCTTCCTCCACATTGCGCTCCGAGACTACGACCACCGCAAAAACCCGAGAGCAGCTTAGAATCCTACACGCGTGCCCCTACAAAAATCTCCACATGAGTTGTACAACGTTGTGTCATGGGTCAAGCAAGAACCATTTGAGAAAAAGAGAGAGCGGCAGGTAACGGAGGTGGCGGGATTATGCACCTTTTTGCACGTATACTGAAGGGCAAGGGAGGGTTGTCAAAATATATTTTTATATGTTATGGACTAGATAGGTGCTTGCTCATAGAGGGTACAACACCATAGCACAAAACCTCCATGTATGGCCCAATCTAGTTCATTGCGTTATTCTAACATGGTATCACGTTAGGTTAGGTCCCCCTCCCCGCCTTCGCTTCCGCCCCTAGCCCTAGCCCTAGCCTTAGACCGCGCCCTAGCTCCCGCCCCATCACGCCGCGCTGGCCGCGTCACGCCGCGCTGGCCCCGTCCCGCCGCGCCGGCCCCGTCCCGCCGCGACGGCCCCGTCACGTCGCGCTGGCCCCGCTAGACCACGCCCGCCTAGTCACGCCGCGCCGGCCCTGTCACGCCGCGCCGGCCCTGTTACGCCGCGTCGGCTCCGTCACTCCGCACCGGCCCCGTCACGCCGCGCCGGCCCCATCACTCCGTGCAGGCCCCGTCACACCGCGCCGGCCTCGCCATACCGCGCCGCGCCGAGCTGCCGAGCCGCGACGCCACGCCGCCGAGCCGCTGCGCCACCGAGCCGCTGAGCCGCATCACCACGCCGCCGCGCTGCCGAGCTGCTGCGCCGCCGAGCCGCCAAGTAGCCGAGCCGCTGAGCCGCCGAGCCGCTGAGCTGCCGAGCCGCCGTGCCGCCGTGCCACCGCGCCGCCGAGTAGCCGAGCCGCCGCGTCGCCGAGTTGCCGAGTCGCCGAGCCGTCGTGCTGCTATGCCGCCCCAACCTGCCGGCCCTGGTTCCCCCTTCTGTGCCGGCGCTCCTGACGGCCGTCTCCACCGCTGCTCTCCACTGCCCTCTCCTCCCCCTCCCCTAGCGCCAGTCAGCTGCTGCAGCCATGGCGATGACGGACGCCGTGCTCCGCCTGGACGCGGAGGGTCGGGCGATTGACTTTTAGGCGTGGCTCGCCGACCTCCACCGCTCGCTGAGGGGACAGCGCCAAGATGGCCAATCTCTGGCCGTTCACGTCGACGGTAAGATCCCCTGCCCCGACGCGCCTGCTGCCCTCTTTGACACCCCCACGCGCCTGCTGCCCTCTCTGACACCCCCACGCCCGCTGAGCGTGAGCACTTTGCAACTGCTGAGCTTGCTCGCTCGATCTGGGAGTCGCGTGACGCAGTTGCGCAGCTTGATGTCAGTCGTGCCCTCCCCCTGTCTGAGCGCCCCCGCTACCGGGCCCTAGAGACTACGCAGGCGTACTTAGATGATGTTATTGCACGCTATTCCACTACCTCCTCCGCCGCTGCCAGTCGTCTCCTCCTCCCCCTACTCTTCCCTGACCTTGCGTCTTTTCCCACTGTCGTTGACCTTGCCACTCACATGCGCACACTAGAGGCTAGCTACCGCGTTGCTAACACTGAGGCTCAACTCCTTGTACTGCCTCCCCCCCTCATTGCTACCCTCTACTTCCTTGCAACGCACCTTTATGACCGCCTAGCCACTGCCTGCGACCACTTCCTTGCCCTCCACTCTGCTGACCTCACCCTCACAGACTTTGTCACTACCCTGACCGTGATAGAGACCTGCCATCGCACTATCGCTCTGTCGAACGGTACTGCGGCGGTCCCTATATTCCAGGGCTGTGCTCCCTCCCAATGCACTTACTCTGACGTCTTTGTCACTGTTGCTAAGACGGCCCCTGCTGCTGAGACCGCTGAGGCGGCCTTAGCGCAGTCTCGTCAAAATAGGGGACGCCAGGCCCAAGGGGGGCGTGGCGGGGGTGGCGGGGGTGGCGGAGGTGGCGGAGGTGGTGGAGGGGGCGGTGGTGCAGACGAGGGGACCGGGGCTGGTGCCCCGGAGCAGCAGCAGCAGTAGCCTCAGCAGCAGCAGCAAGCGTCGCAGCAGCAGCACCAGTCGCCGTAGGGACCCCCGCCGCAGTGGTGGATTGGCGGTGCTGGTGATGGTGGGGGGTGCAGCTCGGTGTCAGGTGGCGGCTCCAGTATGGTCACCTACCAGTACCAGCTTCAGTCCGGCCCCCGCCGCGGCACCGGCTGTGACCGCCCCCGTCACACCGCCGCACGCTGCTACCGTCGCCTCGACGACCTCTTCCGTCTCCGCTTCGGCCCCACGGCGAACCTCCCTGATTGGTACAGCTTGGAGCGTCATCGTGTGCCTGTCTTTGAGGTGGACATGGATCAGATTAGGTCTGCTTTGTATGCCATATACTGTATGCTGATGACTCTAGTATGACTGGACCCTATTACCCGGTGTTGCCTAGCATAGGTGTGTCCCCTGTGTGTAGTCTAGGTTCCCCTGCAGCGTCAGGCGTAGGACCCCCTGCCTTGTTTAGCCTAGTCTCCACCCTAGCCCCTCCGCCGGCGAATGCTACCGCTTCGCTCTTGTCTTCTTTGCACTCTTTTGACTGGTCTTCAAACCCTTGCCTCAGAGGTTGGACTAGTAGTGCCACCCTGAGCTGCATGTCTCTTGCTAGGCATTGCCTTTTGTCTAGCCTAGGGGGTGTGTCAATATAGAGGGTACAGCACCATAGCACAAAACCTCCCTGTATGGCACAATCTAGTTCATTGCGTTATTCTAACAGGGGTTGCATGGTAATCCTGGAACAGGAGCCATAATTCAGATAGTCGAAGCCCTCTTTGGTAGTGTCCCAAACCTGCCAGAAATCAGCCAAACTCTCTACGTGCTCAGAAAGAGAGGTTGAAGGCACTGTGGAAAAGGATCTACCTAAGCTTATATTAAAGAGCCCTTGTGGTTATGTCAAATGCGGAATATAGCAATGAGCTGACGAACGCACCTCAGAAGAACAGGATAAGCATGACTCATCGTGTACAAAAGTACACGTAGAGAGTGCTTTTTTCAGCAAAGGAAAGAGGGCACTGTTTTGAGAAAGAGGCGTGAAACCTCACAGGAAAGCCTATCTACGAAAATGACTCTTCTAAACAACTATGATTGCTGCGAACGTTGGACGATCCCCAACACCAGCTCCCATTCACCTCAGCTGCTGACCTTGACACATGTGATTCTTAAGTCGCAAGCACCGAGTACCTAGCCCATGCCTCAGCCCTATGCACCCAAGTCTCTATTCCCTTCTAGGCTCTCCTACTATGCTTTACCCGTTGTTAAGTATAATGTCGAGAGAAGGAGGGAGAGTGGGGGGGGGGGGAGGGGGCGAAGAGGACGACAGAGTAGGGGAGAGAGGGAAATGCGGGAGAGAGCGAGAGAGAGAGAGAGAGAGAGAGAGAGAGAGAGAGAGAGAGAGAGAGAGAGAGAGAGAGAGAGAGAGAGAGAGAGAGAGAGAGAGAGAGAGAGAGAGAGAGAGAGAGAGAGAGAGAGAGGGGGGGGGGTCGTTGCACCAACCAACCTTTTCCATGCTGATCAGTGTAACCTCGAGGCGAATATCAACACGAACGGAAACGAAGGTCTTACCTGCCATTTTTAAGTCCGGACGTAGTTCTTGCTCAAGATCCAACCCCCATCCTTCTTTATGTCCGTCCGACTGATAGCTGCACCTGGAGGTAAAGCTACTGCTGAATAAGGAGAAGCCCCTGCCACGGCGACCGATGTGCGGTTGATCGCTCGCACTCTCTTGCTCTGCAGCTGCGACTCGCCACCTTCTTGGTACGCCGGGGCACCAGTGGATTACCTTCGCAAGCGCCTGAAAATCTGTGGTTTTCAACCCCTCGAGCATGCTGTCATATGTTCGGCATATCACGGCTTGTCCCCATGGAGAGAACCCGCGAGGATTCGCGTTAGCAACAAGAGAGCGTTCGTGCGCGTGGATATCAGCGAGTTCTTCCCGGCAGTGTAGTTGCCACAACGACTCCTTGGCGATGCGGTCGAAAGTCGTTGAGAGGCGCGCCACCGACGCCACGATGCACAGCCCCTTGGGCTCGGCGCAGCGAAGAATGCCAAAGAGAACGTCGGTGGGGAGAGAATCCATGACGGCCCATCGACCCGCGGAGTGACAGGACTGGAGTCACTAAGTGACAGGAATGGAGTACTGAGTGACACGACTGGAGTCACGGAGTGACAGGACTAGAGTCACGGAGTAACAGGAATGGAGTCACGGAGTGACAGGACTGGAGTCACGGAGTGACAGGACTGGAGGCTAGCGACGAATTCGGCGTAGCAAACAGTAAGATCTCGGATCGACGATCAACGATGGTGGGGATGGTTGCTATGGTGCGTTCATCGTTAGGCGGTAAGGTGAAGACTGCTAGATGTCAGCAATGCTAGATGAGAGTAGCGTGTTAGACTACGGGTGACCAGGAAACCGGCGAAGCAGTGCAGAGATTGAGGACGGGTAGGTCCCCTACCAGGTGTGGCGACGTTGGGAATCAATAACGAATTCTTTACCCTGCCGAGCTTTACTGGCGTGGCTCGACCCTCATCGAGGCAATGATGGGTTCGCTACACCATGAGAGGGCTGGTAGTTTCTAAGGCCATAGGAAACATAGAGGTGGGAATTGTTAAAGTGAAAAGTGTAGACTAGAACAAAACATACAAGGGTATATAACCTAATGGGTTGTATTCCCTAAGGCACAACCCCATATAGTCTACAGTAACATACAATATATGTTTGACACACCCCCTAGACTGGATAGGGGTAGTGCCTGATGAGAGAGAAACAGCTCCAGCCTCTGAGGCAGGGGTCTAAAGACCAGTCAAACAAGTACAGACAAGGCAAGAGCAAGACCAAGGTGGCAATACTAGTCCATCCACTGGGAAGAGGCCACAAGGCCAGTGTGGGTAATATATATAAAGGTTTGTACACAATCAAGGTCCTAGCAGGTGAGAGGCTACAGGAACGAGACCTAGCTGTACACATTACCACTGATGATCTTGAGGCGCAAGCGCCTTAGTAAAGATATCAGCTGTGTTGACACCTGAGGCCAAGTGTACTAGACAAGCCTGGCGACGCTGCTGCAGCTCGCGCAAGAGGAATTATCGCAGCTGGATGTGCTTCACTCTGCCCTCAAGTGACCCCATTCTGGTGCGGGGAGTCCGGCAGGGTGAACGTCTGGGTGATGCCCTACTTACGACAGAAGCAACCAAGGCAGCAAGAGGCGAACTCGCCACCACGGTCGGAGTGAAGACCCAAGACAGGGAGACCTCGGTGAACACGCGCAGAGACAAGCCACGGGAGAAGAACGTCAGGCACGTCGGCCTTCCGCTCCAGGGGAAAGACGGTGGTGTAGCGGGTGTAATCGTCGACAAGCACTAGGAAGTAGCGCTCGCGACGCGGCCCATGGACGGGGGCGGGGCCCGAGACGTCCATGTGCAGGGTCTGCAGCGGTGCGGAGGTAGGGGGGAACGAGGAGGAGTGAGGGGCACGACCCTCGACGCACGGCGTGTACGGAAGCGCGGGTGAGGAGGGGAGCGCAGGGAACAACTCAGGGAGGCCTAGGATAAGACGGTGCTGGGACATGTGACGGAGACGGGTGAGGGCGGGGTGACCTAGACGATGGTGCCACAGAAGTGACGGGTGAGTAAGCGACCGACACGAGCACGCCGCAGCAACCTGGGAAGACGCTGGTACCTGGGGAGGCGTCCCAACCGGGGGGGAAGCGGTGTCCAGCGTGAACAGGCCAGAGACCGGGTCTTGGGGGAAAGTGGTGAGGGGGGCACCAGTGGCGGCCTCAGTACAGACAGCGTACCGCTTGTGCCCAGGGAACGTAGTGGTGACGCCAAGGTCCTGGAGGCAGCTGACACCAACTAGGTTCCTAGAGAACGAGGGCATGTGCAGGCATGTAAGGGAGCTTGAAGGAACCGCCGAACAGGGGAGAGTGGTGGAGCTACGGGCAACTACAGGACCGGAGGAAGGGTCTGCAAGGGCAACTGCAGCAGGTGCGGCAAGCAACGTACGTGTAGTGGAGTCGCGAAAGAAACACCGGGAAGCATGGGAGTCCAGGGTGAAGGAGAGTGCGGCAGCGGCGACAGAGGTCGGAGGAGCGAGGGAGGACCCTAGGCTAAACAAGGCAGGGGATCCTATGCCTGACGCAGCAGGGGAGCTCTGGGCGGGGTGGAATAGCGCGCATCAACAGCCTCTAGGAACTCCTGCGCAGTCCTGACTGACCTAAAGCGGGGGCGCTCGGACAGGGGACGTGCATGACTAATCACAAGCTGTGCTGCAGCATCACGCGACAACCAGATAGCACGAGCAAGGGCAGCAGCTGCAGCGGACTCACGGTCTGCAGATGTGGGGTCAGCGGGGAGGGCAGCAGGGGGGTCCAGGCAGGGGAGCGTACCGTCGATGTGGACGGCCAGGGAGTGGTCGTCCTGCTGCTGACCAGTCACGTGGTGCTGGAGGTCAACGAGCCACGAGTCGAACTCAATCGGTTGCCCCTCCGCATCGAAACGCAGGACCGAGTCCGCCATCATGGTTGCAGCAGTAGGAGAAGGACAGTACTGGGCAGTAGAGAGCGGCGGAAAGAGGAAATGCGCGGTGCAGTGCGGTATTGTGCGGTAGAGGGAGGTGCAGTACGGTAGGGTGCGGTGCAGTACAGTGCAGCGCGGTGCAGTGCGGTGCAAAGCGGTGCAAGTGCGGTGCAGAGCGGTGCAGTGCGGTGGAGAGTGGTACCGGGTGGTGCAACGGGATGCAGAGGGCCGAGGACGGCGGCGAGGCGTCTAGGAGATGGGGCCGCGGGCGGCAAGGCGATGGGGCCAGCAAGGGGATGGGGCGTCGGCTAGGAGGGCGGGCCGGTAGGGAGACGGGGCCGACTGGGCGACGAGGCCGGTGAGGTGACGGGTCCGGCTAGGGGGGCGGGGCCGGCTGGGCTACGGGGGCCGGCTAGGCGACGGTGCTGATTTGGGCAGCGGGGCCAGCGAGGAGGCGGGGTCGACGGGGCCGATTGGGCGGCGGGGCCAGCTAGGAGGCGGGGTCGAAGGGGCTGATTGGGCGGCGGGGCCAGCTAGGAGGCGGGGCCGACAGGGCCGATTGGGCGGTGGGGCCAGCAAGCAGCGGGGCCGACGGGGCCGATTGGGCCGGGCAAGCTAGGAGGCGGGGCCGACGGGGCCGATTGGGCGGCGGGGCCAGCTAGGAGGCGGGGCCGACAGGGCCGACTGGACGACGGGGCCAGCTAGGAGGCGGGACTGGCTAGGCAACGGGGCGGGCTGGGCTACGGGGCCAGCTCGGCGACGGGGCTGGCTAGGCGACGGGGCTGGCTAGGACCTAGGGCGGAAGCGCTAGGGGGGGGGAGGGGGGGGAGACCTACCTACTCATGATATCATGTTAAAGTGAAAAGTGTTGACTAGAACAAGACATACAATAGTATATAAACTAATGGGTTGTACTCCCTAAGGCACAACCCTATATAATCTACAGTAACATACAATATATGTTTCACAGGAATCATAACCTTGAGACTCTCTCCGTTGCTGGTCCGCGGAATGGCGAACATGGCTGGCGCGGCGAAATCAAGAAAGCGGACTGCGGGGGATGGTGATTGGAATGGATCTCGGGGATAGAGGCTGGAAGGAAACTCCCAAAGGAACAGAGCTACTGGTGATTGCAGAGGAGCAATGCGGGGAGATCTCATTCGAAGGCAAACCCAGGCATATCCAGTGACGCCCAACTCAACCGCTTGGTTGGTTGGAATTTCCAGCAGCTAATGTGTTACAAATTGAAATATGTGTTTCTCTTAGAGCTGTCTCGATAACGTAGACCTAGAGGAATTGCCTCCTGTTTAAGTCCAAAATTCAGGCAGTTTGAAGAACATATGTCTTCTATACCAGATACGGTACTTTACTACACAACACTTACCGTATTCCCTCGGATAAAACACCCACGAGTGGCACTAAATTTTGCATCAAAATTTAGTGGGGGTGTAATTAGTGGCACTTTTTGTATAACGTCCGGGGGCTATGGAATGACAATTTTATGTTTATGAACTGGAATTGAACTGTGTTGTAGACAGTTCTTTTGTGCCGAATTTTGACGATTCTTGCACGTGATCGCATATATGGTGAGGAGGACCATCGTCATGCCACATTGCAGGCAAACAGTCATAGGTTGCCTGCGTCACAGGTTGTCACGTTCTGTCAAATCGTTGTGGCAAGTGGCAACCTCGACGGGAATCAGGCTCGTACAGTATCGTGGTGGCAAGTGGCAACCTCCCATGAGCCTCGTACAGTATCAGGCTCGCAACATTCGCCTGATACTCGGGAATTCCAGGCATGGTAACAGTTCTACACCGCATTGAACCACTTCGCGTCGAGCTTGCACTGCTCAGTGACGCACGAGTCTGATAAGAGACACTCTGATAAGAGGCAAAATCTACAGAAATCCATTGAAAATGAACCAGGGGGATGGTGTATAGGTTTCATGCCAAAAACTAGGGTGGTATGAATATCCAGTTTAATAAAGCACCCAGGTCTGCCCAAACCACCCATGGGTGATTAATTCCGGCGGGTGTTTTTGTTAGAAGGCTAGCTTAGCTAGGAAGCTAGGAAAGGCATGAGGTTTAGCTAGGAGGAGCCATGGAGTGGTGTGAGGTTTAGGAAGGAGAAAAGTTGAGGAGAGAAAAGAGAGTTAGGAAAGAAGAGAGGGGGATACAAGGAGGGGTGTTGTACCCCCTACAGTAATGTTCAGTAACATCTAATCTACCAAACCTACACATTATATATCTCAATATATAATTTTAACACACCCCCTAGGCTTGGTAGTCACATGCCCACACACACCCACACCCCCTAACCTAGCACCCCCATTCCAAGCATCAGCCACGTCTACTCCGGTGGGGCCAGCCCCCACGGCCCGTGAGATGGCGATGGCGGCAACCACGACAGTGACGAGAGCGGCGGCGGCGGCGGGGTGCGGCGGCAACGGCCTGCGGAAACGGCGGCGGCGGCGGCGACTTCAACATCAGAGGCGACTGCAGCGGCCCCCGCCCTTTCGGCGGCATGGCCAGTCTCGACGGCGATGGGGGCCCCCACGCGCCAGGCGTCGGCTGTGGCGAGGAGGGGACGTAGGGGAAGGAGGGCAGCTGGCGTGCGGGCGGTGGCGACGTCAGAGGCGTCGCGCGGTCGGCTGCGGCCCGACGGCGCCGTCACAGAGCGGCGTCGATGCTGCAGCGGGATGTCGACGCTGCGACGGCAGCACGACGGCCCGACACCACGGCAGCGCGTCAAGACGGCCGCGGCACGACGCGGCCAGCAGCATCACGACGCCACCACTGCAGCAAAATGCGGCCGCCATGGCCGCGCGAGCGAATGAGGGTGAGGAGTACGCGGCGGAAGCGTGAGGAGGCGGTCCAGCAGGGAGGAACTGCTCTAATGCCATGTTAGAAGGCTAGCTTAGCTAGGAAGCTAGGAAAGGCATGAGGTTTAGCTAGGAGGAGCCATGGAATGGTGTGAGGTTTAGGAAGGAGAAAAGTTGAGGAGAGAAAAGAGAGTTAGGAAAGAAGAGGGGGATACAAGGAGGGGTGTTGTTCTCAAAACTAGAATTGAATGAATGATAGAGTTAGAGAGTACATGCACATATACCTAAATGTTGTACCCTCTAGGAGGTTACCCTATACAGTCTATACAAACATGATCAATAAACATGTTTGACACACCCCCTGGACTGCATAGGGGAATGTCCTAGATAAGCAGCTCAGGGCGGCACTACTAGTCCAGCCTCTGAGACAAGGGTCTAAAAGACCAGTCAGAAGGAGTACAGACAAGACAAGAACAAGTACAGGGCGGCACTACTAGTCCAACCACTGTGAGAGGACACAAGTCCAGTCTGAGTGTACACATATATATAGGACAGTACAAAGTCAAGGCCCGAGTAAGTGAGCGACTACAGGAACCAGACCAAGCTGTACACAGTGCCGCTGATGATCTTTAGGCGCAAGCGCCTTCGTAAAGATATCAGCTGTGTTGGCACCGGAGGCCAAGTGTACTACGCGAGCCTGGCGACGCTGCTGTAGCTCGCGCAGGAGGAAGTACCGCAGCTGGATGTGCTTCGCTCTACCCTCGAGTCGAGGCTCCTGACACAGGAGGATCATGGCCCTGTTGTCAGCGTACAAGACCGGGGCAGAGCTAGGCCGCTCACCTAAGTCAGTGAGCAAGAAGGTCAGCCAGCGGAGCTCCTGTGCCGCCATGGCACCGGCGTAGATCTCAGCCTCACAGCTGGACTGGGCAACAGACGAGGAGCGGGTAGCTCTCCACGAGACAGCACCTGAGCCAAGGCTAAAGCAGTAGCCCTGGGAAGACCTGAGCGTCTCGGCGTCGTCTGCCCAAGAAGCGTCCGTGTGTCCAGTAAGGACCACTGGCCTGCGTCCGCCTAGCACTAACCCCATGCCCGATGTACTTGCAAGATAACGCAAAACCCTCTTAGCGGCAGACCAGTGCTGAGGTCGGTGTCTGCCTGTGGCCACGAAACGAGCCAGGATGCTGAGAGGGTATGCGAGATCTGGGCGAGTGCAAGTCATCAGGTACATGAGGCAACCCACTAGCTCAGCGTAAGGACCACTGGGATCTACCGACTCCTCAGGGACTGGAGCGGAGAGTCTGTGGTCCAGAGGAAGAGGGGTGGGCTGTGCGGAGGAGAACTGAAGGCCGAACCTCTGAAGGACCTGGCGCACCAAGTGTGACTGAGTCAGGGTGATGGTGCGCGCGGCTCTGTCCCTGGAGATCTGCAAGCCAAGGTAACGGCGCAGCTCTCCAAGGTCAGTGCAGGTGTGTCTCTTCAGCAGCTCTGCCTTCACGGAGGCCAGTGCGTCCCTGTCAGCTGTGGCAAAGACCAGGTCGTCTACGTAGACAAGGATGTAGAACGGAGTCGGGCCAGCACGAACGAAGAGCGAGGGGTCTGCAGAGGACGGAAAGAACTGCAGGTCAGCAAGGGTAGCATGCAGCGTGTCGTGCCACTCACGAGGCGCCTAGCGCAGGCCGTAGACTGGGCGCCGCAGAAGCCACTGGGTCCCAGGGGGGAAGGTGCCAGTAAAGCCCTGAGGACGACGCAGGTAGACCTGCTCGTGAAGGCTGCCCTGAAGGAAGGCAGTGGAGAAGTCGAGGGAGTGAAGCTCGTAGTCACGCTGAGCCGCTACGTGTAACAGAACCCGAAGAGTAGTCATCTTCGGCGTAGGAGCGAAAGTCTGAAAGAAGTCCACCCCCTCGCGCTGACTGAAGCCTCTAGCCACGTAGCGCGCCTTGAACACAGGCGGCTCTCCAGGAGGGCGCTTCACCTTGAAGAGCCAACGGCCATCGACCACGTTCACCCCAGGTGGGGGAACTGCGTCGACAAAGGTGCCGGTGGATCTCCAAGATGCCATCTCCTGTTCCATGGCAGCTATCCACTGAGAGGCCCAGGGTCCCGAAACCGCCTCAGCGTAAGTACGAGGGGTCGGGATGTCGAAAGCGTCTGGGTCACCCTCAGGGACTAGCAGCATGGAACAGAGATGGGGAGCAGCCTCGGACAGGAAAGCAAGCTCAAACTGGCGGTCCTCCAGGACGTCACTGCCTAGGGCAGGAGCACCCCCGACAGACGGAGGACAGGCAGGGTCAGAGACAAGAGCGGTGGCGTAGTCAAGGCGGCGGGTAGAGGCGAAGTCAGCGACCGCAGCGACAAGGGCGTCAAGACTCGACACTGGAACAGACGGGTCTGTAACCAGAGAGGCAAGGACCCGAGGAACAAGAGGACGGGCGGCACGAAAGTAGTCAGACAGAGGAGGAGACGCAACGACAAGAGAGGACGGAGGAGGAGATGGGAGGAGGGGAGGACGAGACGCGTGGGACCGGAGCAACATAGGGTGAGAGCGCGTGACGGGGGAGACAGGACGAGCACAGGAGGGGCGGCGAGACCAGACGTGGGAGGGGGGCGTCGGGTCAGGAGACAGAGGAGGGGACACAGGGGGGGAACGAGGGGGAAAACGAGCCAGGGAGGAGTCCGGCGGAGGGAACACGGGGCCGTAGACGGGAAGAGGAGGAGACGGCAGGAGAGGAACAGGCGCAGGGTCAGGGGACGGAAGGCCGAGCAGACGGAGGGCGGACACCGGCGGGGACTGCTGCTGCGGCGACACAACACCAACGCCAGGGCCACAAGCTGCGCGACGGCTACCTCCCGAACGCTCCACACCGGCACCCCCAGAAGGGACACCCCCAGAGCCCGAAACCCCGCCAGCACCGGTACCACCCCCAGGCCCGCCGGGACAAGCCACGACAGGAGCCCCGGGACTAGTACCCACCTCAACGCCAGCACCCCCAGAGTCCACAAACAGCGGCAGCGACGACGGCGGCGGCGGCGGCTGCAGCGACGGCCGCGACGGCGGCGGCGGCGGAGACGACGGCTGCAACGGCGGCGGCGGTGGAGACGACGGCTGCAGCAGCTGCGGAGGCGGTGGAGGAGGAGACACCGGGGGAGGGACAGACGGCGAGGACTGCGCCGGAGGACTACCAGAGTCAGAAGACTCGTCGACCGGGACGACCGACGGGAGGGGGGTGACGTGAGACACACCAGAGGGGGCCAGACGGGGGGGCGGGGGGGGGGGGGGAGGGGCAGGGACCACTGGGGAAGGAGGGACCAGGAACAGGGGGGGAGTAACCGGGGGACCACGGTGGGGGAAGCGGCGGTAGAAGGAGACGGACTCGTCAAAGGTGACGTCGCGAGAGTGAAAGAAGCGGTGAGACGGCGGGTGGTAGAAGTGCCAGTCGGACGCGTCAAGGGGGAAACCGAGGAAGACGCAGGGGAGGGTGCGGGCAGTGAGCTTGTCCGTGCCAGAGGCACGAACGTGAGCAAGGCAGCCCCAGACGTGGAACGCAGACGCGTCACCAGGGGACCCGGTCCACAGAAGGGTCGGCGAAACCTGCGGCCGCTGGGGGTGCGGCCACAGGTTAAGCTGGTGAGCGGCGTAGCGCACGGCGAACTGCCACAGAAAATGGGGTGCACCGGCGTGGATCATGGAGGTGCGAGCCACCTCCATGACCAAACCGATGCGTCGCTCAGCGACCCCATTCTGCTGCGGGGAGTCCGGCAGGGTAAACGTCTGGGTGATGCCCTCCGCACGACAGAAGCGACCAAGGACACCTGAGGCAAACTCGCCACCCCGATCGGAGTGGAGGCGCAAGGCAGGGAGACCGCGGTGGACACGAGCAGAGACAAGCCAGGGGATGAGAACGTCAGGCACGTCGGCCTTCCGCTCCAGGGGAAAGACGGTGGTGTAGCGCGTGAAGTCGTCGACAAGCACTAGGAAGAAGCGCTCGCGACGCGGCCCATGGACCGGGGCTGGGCCCCAGACGTCCATGTGCAGAGTCTGCAGTGGTGCGGTGGTAGGGGGAAAAGAGGAGGAGTGAGGGGCACGGCGGAGCCGGCCCTCGACACAAGGCGTGCACGGGGGGGCGGGGGAGGAGGGAAACTCGGGGAACGAACCGGGGAGACCAAGGACGAGACCGTGCTGGGACATGTGACGCAGACGCGGGAGTGCAGGGTGACCAAGGCGGTGGTGCCAAAGGAGAGTCGGGTGAGTGAGGGACCGACAGGAGCACGCAGCAGCAACCTGGGTGGATGCAGCGACCTGGGGGGGAGACCCAGCCGGGGAAGTCGCGGTGTCAAGTGTGAACAGGCCGGACACCGGGTCCCGGGGGAAAGTGGTAAGGGGGGCACCAGTGGCGGCCTCGGTACAGACAGCATACCGCTCGTGACCAGGGAACGTAGTGGTGACGCCAAGGTCCTGGAGGCAGCCGACACCAACTAGGTTCCTGGAGAACGAGGGGATATGCAGACCGGTGAGCGAACCTGAAGGAACCGCCGGACAGGGAAGGGAGGTGGAACTGCGGGCAACGACGGGACCACCGGAGGGGTCAGCAAGAGTAACTGCAGCGGGAACAGGCAGCGGCGTCAGCGTCGTGGAGTCGCGGAAGAAACACCGGGAGGCGCCAGAGTCCAAGGTGAAGGAAAGCGCAGCAGTCGCGCGAGGCGGCAGTGAAGGGGTGGAAGCACCGAGGCTAAGCAAAGCAGGAGATCCTACGCCTGACGCAGCAGGGGAGTCTACGCTAGGCACAGCTACACTAGGCAACACGGGGTAATAAGAGGGAAGCACACTAGAGTCATCAGCATACATCACATGCAAGGCTGCTACAATGGCATCCATGTCCAAGTCAAAAATCTGAATGCTACGCGTAAGAAAGCTGTGCCAGTCCGGGAGGTCGGGCGCCGGGCCAAAGCGCTGACGGAACAGGTCGTCCAGACGACGAAAACAGCGAGGAGTGGAATGACCGATCTTACCGCAAACGAAGCCGCGGCGAGGACCGGTCTGGATCTGGTACTGACAGCGCCCGCCTCCAGAACCACCACCCGGCGCACCACCACGCGCCCGACCACCACCAGCTCCAGGCCACCCAGGCGGGAGAGCACTCGCCTGCCTCGGCTGCGGCGGCTGCTGCGGCGGCGACTGCTGCTGCTGCTGCGACTGTGGAGGCAGCGGTGCAGCTGGACCGGGCAGGATCCCCACGTCCGCAGCGGGACCGGACGACCCGACTCCACCACCACCCCCACCCGCACCCCCGCCGCCTCCGCCGCTCCCAACCTTGGGGCGGCGGCCCTTCCCCGAGCGGGACTGCACTGCAGCAGCAGTCTCAGCCACAGCGACAGAGCCGTCGGAGAAGGTACACTGAGCGGGGGCACAACCCTGAAAGATAGGGACCGGTACTGTACCGCTCGCCTGGGCGATGGAGCGGTGACGAGTCTCTATAACAGTCAGGGTGTCAACAAAGTCGGTGAGGGTGAGCGCAGCGGGGTGGATGCTAAGGAACTGGTCGCGGGCGGCGGCAAGGCGGTCAGGGAGGCGGGTGGCAAGGAGGTAGAGGGTAGAGGTCATGGGAGGCTGGTGGACTCTAAGCTGTGCATCAGTGCAGGCAGCGTGCCAGGTCTCATCTATCGAGCGCAGGTGGGCAGCGAGGTCAGAGACAGTGGGGAATGACGCAAGGTCAGGAAAGAGCAGGGGAAGGATCAGGCGACCCACTGAGGCAGCAGGAGGGGTAGAATAGCGCTTGATGACAGCATCGAGGTAGGCCTGGGCGGTAGTAATGGTTCTAAAGCGAGGGCGCTCAGGGGGGGGGAGGGCATTGCTAATGGCGAGCTGAGCAAGGGCATCGCGGGAAAGCCAGACAGAGCGGGCAAGGGCAGCGGCGGCAGTGGACTCGCGCTCAGCGTGCGTGGGATCAGCGGGCAGCACAGCAGGGGGGTCAGGGCAGGGGAGCATACCGTCTAGGTGGTCAGAAAGCGGGTGGCCGTCCTGCCGCTGACCAGTGAGGTGGCGGCGAAGGTCAGCCAACCACGCCTCGAACTCCAGAGGCTGACCCTCAGCATCAAAACGAAGCTCAGCAGCCATCAGGGGCAGTGTAGGACAGTGAAGTGCGGTGTAGTGCTGTGCAGTGCGGTGCAGGGCGGTGCAGTGCGGTGCAGTGCGATGCAGTGCGGTGCAGTGCGGTCCAGTGCGGTGCAGTGCGATGCAGTGCGGTGCAGTGCGGTCCAGTGCGGTGCAGTGCGGTGCAGTGCGGTCCAGTGAGGTGCAATGCGGTGCAAGGCGGGGCAGGGAAGTGCAGGAGGGTGCAAAGCGGTGCGGGGAACGGGGGACAGTACCAGGAAGTATGTAGGGCCGGGGCAGGCGCGACAGGGCCGGGCAGGCGCGACGAGGCCGGGCAGGCGCGACGGGGCCGGGCAGGCGCGACGGGGCCGGGCAGGCGCGACGGGGCCGGGCAGGCGCGACGAGGGGCCAGGCAGACGCGACGGGGCCGGGCGGCTGCGACGGGGCCGGGCGGCTGCGACGGGGCCGGGCGGCTGCGACGGGGCCGGGCGGCTGCGACGGGGCCGAGCGGCAGCGACAAGGCCGGGCAGCTGCGACGGGGCCGGGCAGGACACAGCAGGGCCGGGCGAGGGCGACGGGGCCGGGCGGGCGTGACGGGGCCGGGCGGGTGCGACAGGGGCCGGGCGGGCGCCACGGGGCCGAGCAGCTGCGACGGGGCCGAGCTGGGGCGACGGGGCCGAGCAGGTGTGACGGGGCCCAGGAGGGGCTCGACGGGGCCCAGGAGGGGCACTACAGGGCCCTGGAGGGGCGCGACGGGGCCCAGGAGGGGCGCGACGGGGCCCAGGAGGGGCGCTACGGGGCCCAGGGAGGAGCGCGGCAGGGCCCAGGAGGGGCGCTAAGGGGCCCAGGAGGGGCGCGACGGGGCCCAGGAGGGGCGCTAAGGGGCCCAGGGAGGGGCGCGACGGGGGCCTGGGAGGGGCGCTATCAAGCCCAGGAGGGGCGCGACAAAGCCCAGAAGGGGCGCTACGAAGCCCTGGAAGGGGCGCGACAGGGCCCTGAGGGGCGCTACGAAGCCCTGGAAGGGGCGCGACGGGGCCTGGGAGGAGTGCGACGGGGCCTGAGAGGAGCACGACAGGGCCCAGGAGGGGCGCTAAGGGGCCCAGGAGGGGCGCGACGGGGCCCAGGAGGGGCGCTAAGGGGCCCAGGAGGGGCGCGACGGGGCCCTGGAGGGGCGCTACAGAGCCCAGGAGGGGCGCGACGGGGGCCTAGAGGGGCGCTACGAAGCCCTGGAAGGGGGGCGCGACGGGGCCTGGAGGGGCGCTACGACGCCCTGGAAGGGGCGTGACGAGGCCTGAGAGGAGCACAGCGGGGCTAGGGGGGGGGGTCGTGACTGGGCCTAGGAGGGGCGAGGCTAGGCGAGGAGACGCGACAGGAGGAGCGGAAGCGGTAGGTGGGGGGGGGGGTCGAAACCTACGCGTGATACCATCTCAAAACTAGAATTGAATGAATGATAGAGTTAGAGAGTACATGCACATATACCTAAATGTTGTACCCTCTAGGAGGTTACCCTATACAGTCTATACAAACATGATCAATAAACATGTTTGACAGTTGTACCCCCTACAGTAATGTTCAGTAACATCTAATCTACCAAGCCTACACATTATATATCTCAATATATAATTTTAAACAGTTTCATATGTGGGTACCCCTGCAGCAGTTCAGCAGTGAGTAACTCTGTACCGAAGCCCAGAGGTACAGCAGAACCAGCAGCAATACAGCAAATCTAGTGTTTCCACCCTTCTCACCCCAGCTTCGAGGCGATGCGTCTCATAACCAGCGCGACGGCTAATTATCCCTTGAATTCAACTGGATGCGAGCCCTAAGAGGAGTGCGAGTCCACCCAGTGGTAGAGCAGGCTGGCAGCGACGTCAGTGCCTCCGCCCTTGTCACGCGCCGATGGAAAAAGAGTTGAGAGGAAAACATGCCGTTCTTCCACACCGGCCCTGGCAATGTCCAGGTGCGTCCATGGTATCCCCTCACTCGAGAACTGCCACGAAGAGAAGGAAACGAGATGAGGGACAAGTACAGTAGTCAGAGAAAGCACAGGTCCCCCACACTCCACACACCCTGCTATGTCCAGGTGCGCTCATGGCACTCCATGTCCACGGAGTGAAACCGGTAAGAGGGGAGAAAGGGAGCTAAGAAGGGAGAGAAGGTGAGGATGGAAATGAGCAGCGAACGTAGCACGCAATGACTGCAATAGGTATCATATTTATGTGTCGTTTCTCCCCAGCCCACCTGCTTGAGGAAGAGTGCAGCAGCGATGCAGCCGCCTCGCTGCTGTGTATGCATGCAAGGATGTATGCATGTATGTATGCGATTCACATGTGTCGTATGGTGGGCTGACGGTACCTCTGGGATTGCTCTACGACCACCTTCTCCTCTCAGAAGTAATTATGTAAGCTGTATGCATGATGGGCTTGTCATTTGGAAAAAAAAACGGTGCACAGAAAGCAATGGTAAAGATCACACTCGACACACACCATAAGAGGTGATATTTGTATACCATACCGTACATTCACTGCGGTCCCTACATGAGTCAGCCCATGTGGTCCATGTCAACTGCACCATCGTCGGGCTTCTCTATGCACACCGGCTCCCACTCGTTGTCATCTGCACTCACACAACGCAGGCAGCAGGAGAGGTAAGCGCAGAGGCAGTCGCAGGGGAAACACTACTTGTAAGCAATGGGGTATGGCTCAGGTCAGGGAATGCGCATGAGGAGATGAAGAAAGGCAATGCCTACAGCAGAGGGGGGGCAAGACAAGGGAGGAGGCGAACCTGAGAGGCGGTAGGTGAGGGCCACCACGGCATCGTTCTCCACCTGTGGCATGGCGGGAGGCACGGATGGGAGGACGCACGCAGTCACGCACAGAGGAGTGGCACATGGGGAGGCACAAAGCAGCATCACACATGGAAGCACAGAGCAGCAGCACACGTGGAAGCAGAGAGCAGCAGCACACGGGGAAGCACAGAGGAGTGGCCTGCAGTTGGACGCTGGGCAGCAAATGGAGGTTCGTCCCAAGTACGGAGGTCAGCCAAGAGTCATCATGGCCACGTGCAGCAGAACGAGCCAAACGTCTCTTTACCTCCCAGCCACTTCACCTGTCCTTCTTACCCGTTGCTCCGCCAGCGTCCTATTCTCGTCCAGCAGCGCGTTGGTGTGCAGCAGAATCAGCCGAACCATTCTCAACCTTCCAGCCACCTGTCCTCCTTTCCCTTCGCTCTCCCAGCCTGCTCTACCTCTGCATGTCCACCTTACCCGTTGCTCCGCCAGCGTTCTGTTGTCGTCCAGCAGCGCGTTGGTGTGCAGCAGAATGAGGCGCATGTCGCTGGGCGGCTGGCCGCACAGCACCTCGAGGTTGTGCTTCACCTGCAGCACCTTGTGCGACGGCTCGCAGTACACGAAGTACGTCGTCACGCGCCGCTTCGCACGGATGTACATCGACTGCCCACGGGAGGGGGTTGAGGCAAGAGGGGAGATTAGGGTGAAGGAAAGAAGAGGGGCGGGGACATCAAGAAAGGTCCTGGATGGGCAGGGAGTGGAGGTGAGCCGCGTGACGGGAGAGGTGGGTTGGGGAATTCGCTGGAAATATTGCAGTTTCCCGGAGAAATTGTCGCCAGTGTCGCAGGGCGATGCGTGCGAGCGGAGGGAAGGGGAGTAATCAGCGTCGCGGTTTCCGGAGGTCACGCGATGCGGACTGACGTACCATGACGACCGACGAGCGTGCGGCAAGTTGAATTCAAATCAGGAGTGAGGGCGGACTGCCAGTGTTACCGCGACCGAGGGCTACCGCGTTGAGGTGCTACTGCGTTCCGAAAGCTACCGCGACCAGGTGCTACCGCGTGCCGACGCAAATTCGTATGCGCCGATGACGCCGTCGAGTGCGCAGGGCAATGCAAGAACAAAGAATGGTCCAGACGGAGGCGGGCCGCGGTACCGTTGTGCTGCGTGTCAATCGCACGAGAATAGGAGCCAGACGGAGCTTGGTACGCGGATGCTAGGGGCATATTGGTACGAGTCTACGAGATGAGCAAGACAGTTATGGAAGGCACTTGGACGACCGACAGCCCCAAAGGGCAGTCATACTCGTTATCAGGATGCTCGTGGCGGTTCAGAATGTTCCCACGAATCTTGTAGACAAAGGAACAAGGATGCTAAAAAAGAGCAAGAATTTCAAAAACAAGCCTATTTTCTCATCCCTGCTTTGGGGGAATCGGATATTTCCGCCTGAACTGGCTGACATGGATATTCCCTGGCTGGCTGGCTCTCTGAGCAAACCTCCACAGCTCCAGGTTCGGGCTCGGGTCACAGGCACGGCAAACACCAAAGCATAGCCCTGTCGCTCCACCACCTCTGGCCCTCGATATTGTCACCAGCCGGACCTCAGTGCGCTTTAGGGCGCCGAGCCTCGTGCGCGGCACGAAAGACAGCCACAAAGTTCCCCCAGCCAATCCCTACCTGCTAGCGTGGCTCCTGGGTTTTTTGCCCTGTCACTGTCACTTGCTTTGGGTTTGGGGGGCAGTGCCAGCCAGACTAATCAGCAGCCAGTCTGCTGCCTTGGTGTGGGAAAGATCACATTGGAGGAATTATGCGCCGCTTCTCCTATTGATCCCCTAAGCTTGGGAGCTTTTCCGGCCACTTGCAAAGCACGAGCTCCTCGGAAAATGGCCATGATCAGGCAATTCAGGCTACCTGGCTGATCATTAGTATCAGGTGCATTATTTCTCTTGGGCTCTAATTCCTCGATCCTGTATTGTACGGGAAGCTTCAGGGGGGAATTACTGGGCTATCGCGATGCATCCCGTTAGCCTCGCGGGTTCAGTCGGCGCGTCTGAAACAGCGCGATCGTTCCTCGCCACGCCAACACCCTCGCAACGCGCTCGTCGCCGCAATGCCTCGCGTTCCTCTCCGCAGAGTCGCATTCAGACGCACAGCGTCGCTGATCGTCGCGTAAACTCGCAGATCGCTCGTACCGCATCCCCGTCAGTACCAGCTCTGCAATTGCGATCCACTCGTCCACGTCAGCACCTCGCCGTGCGTGCAGCGGCTGACGGCGATGTCGGAGCGGATTATCCGACGTCTGCAGAGGCGGTCGAACTCGCGGCGGAGAAGCCTGGCGTGTCAGGAGGCCCTCAGGAGCCCGCGAGCCCGTCCTCCAAAGGTACTTACTTTGTGTCTCAATATGAGCCGTAACCCTCCTTATCGACTCCGTGGTTTCGAGCAATTTCTCGTCCCTCACAGATCTGCTTGGTGTCGACTGCATAAGAGTTTCTTTCTGAAAAAATAACGCTGCGTCCTCTTGAACCCCTCCCGTCACACCAGGATCAGCCGCCGTTGAGCCTAATGCGCGCGCCAAAACCTCTAGTAGCAGCAGCGGCGGGGGGGGGTCGTCCGCGCTCGATAAGCTCCGCGAGCTGCTGCGGGCGGCGGAGGCAGAGCTGGAGAAGGCGAGCGCGCGGACCGTTGAGACGGAGGAGGAGGCGCGGAGGGTGGCGGAACGCGCCATAGAGCTGTCTGACGTTGTCGCCAAGGCGGAAGCGGCGGCGGAAGCCGCGCGGGCGCAGATGGAGGCGGAGCTGGCGGAGGAGGCGCTGGCGCAGGATGCGCTGAGGCAGGCTGACGTGGCGTTTTACCAGCAGGAGGAGGCGCTTGCGGCAGCGGAGGCGCAGCTGCAGGCGGCGGTTGGGGGGATGGCGGAGCAGGGGGGGCAGGAAGGTGAAAGCCTGCGATCCAGCTTAGTTAATTCCGTCCAGGAGACGCGGGAGGAGCTGGGGAGGCGGGAGGCGGAGCTGAGAGCGCGGAGGGAGGCAGCAGCGGGGGCGACTGAACGTAGGATAAGGGCACAGGGGGAGGCGGCGACGCTGGCGGCGGCAGCGGGGGAGGCACGGGCGCGTGCGGGGGAGGCGGAGGAGGAGGTGGGGGAGCGGATGGGCGTTGCAGAGCGGGCGGTGGCGTTCGAGCTGGAGGCGCGGCAGAGCGTGGCGGAGGCCGCCAAGGCGCTCGCGCGGGCGGAGAAGCTGGTCTCTGACATCGCCAAGGTGGGGGGCGGGGAGGAATAAGGGGATAGAGTCTGCTGCTAAGTGACGAAATGGGGTCTGTCGCTGCTGAAATGGGGTTGACAAACAGAGTCCGTTGCTTGCATCTTGCCCGTCACGGATGTCTTTTACTTGTCACCTCCTTGCGTCAGTTACGACCCCCCCCTCCCCTGTCCCTCCAATACCAGGCGGAGGCAGAGGCAGCGAAGCTAGGGGCGGAGAAGGCGGCGCTGCTAGCAAGTGAGGTGGCGGGGGTGTCGGCCGCGCTGAGGGCCACGGTGAAGGGCGGCAGGGCGGCGGCTGGCATGCCGACCACCGACTCCGATAGCGACTCCGACAGGGACTCGACCAGGGGCCCGGATGGCGACTCAGACAGGGACGAGGGCGGTGACTCGGGCAGTGAGTCCGACCGCGAGGGGGAGAGTGCGAAGGACGGGGCGGCGAGGGACGGTGTGGCGGAAAATGTTGCAGAGGCTGTGGTGAAGGAGGGGAAGGGGAAGGGGAAGAAGGGGGCGAAGGTTGGAGGGGAGGAAGCGACGAGGGTGGATGGAGAGGTCGGGCGGACTGGGGCGGTGAGTGAGGGGGTGAAGGATGCGAGGAAGGAGGGAAAGAAGGGGAGAGTGGATGCTGACTCGGTACCTCAAGGCCGAGCAGAAACCGGTGCTGGAGATGGGATCAAGGGTGATGCAGGGGAGGCGGGAGCAGAGGAGGTCGAGGAGGTACCTGCTGCTGCTGCAGTGGCAGCAGCAGTGCCTGGCTCAGATGAACCCGCTGCCGTTCCTCCCGCTTCCCCCTCCTCCCCATCATCCAAGTCCTCCTCTTCTTCCTCCTCCTCGTCGTCCAAGAAGTCATCGCGGTTCTTCTCGGCGTCCTTCTTCTCCGCGGACGGCCACGAGGTGCAGGACGCGCTCAAGTGGGTGCGCACTGGGCTGCCCTCGCTGCTCACGCACCTGCCCAAGCTGCTGCTCGCGCTCTCCGTACTTCTCTTTGGGTAAGTGTTCCGTGAGACATTACACACCTGTGCTCACACTGAGAGGGTGAACCAAGCATCATGCTTCTTTACTCACTCTGTCCCCGCACCCCTATGCTCTTCCTGTGGCTCCGTCCCATCTCGTGCCCCCGTCTTCCCTCCCCTCTCCCCCATCCCAGCGGGTTTGCCCTGAGAGCGCGCATGGCGCACAGAGCAGCGGTGCACACGCCCCCCGCCACAGTGGTGCAGATGGAAGCCGTGCAGGGGCAGGGGGTGGGTGCAGCGCAGGGGGGAGTGGGCGCAGGGGAGGTGGGAGCAGCGCTCGTGCAGGAGGGTGTGGAGGGTGCAGTGGAGGGCTTTGTGCAAGCAGGGGCGGGGGCGGCAGGGGGACAGCTGCAGGCGCGAGGGCGTGTGGCGTCGGCTAACCCGGTGGTGTCGGCGGTGCAGTCGGTGGTGGGGCGAGTGAAGGCCCTCATTGACAAACTGCCCAGACACGAGGTGAGTGCCATGCAGGGAGCTGAATACCGCCCCCAGTTGCCCCCCCCCCGTTGCCCCCCCCTCCTCTTTGTCTCTTTCTCCCCCCTTTCTCCTTGCAGTTTTCATCCAGCTTAGCCGTTCTTTCCCTGCTCTCTGCACTGCCTTCCCTGCCCTGTGCTTTAAACCCCAACCCCCCGTTTATCCCCTTGCTACACTCCCCTCTTCCTCCTCTCTCCTCCCCCCCCCCAGCCGAACGAGGAGGAGACGCAGCTGTTTGACGTGCTGTGGCTGCTGCTGGCCAGTGTGGTCTTCGTTCCCATCTTCCAGAAGCTGCCAGGAGGTACCCCTCACGTTTGCCATGCTGACACACACCACACCTTGCGTCACCTCAGTACAGCATTGTGCCTCTGGCTAGCCCAATCTTCGTGTGAGCCGTGCTGCCCTCTCTCATGCATCTCTGGCGCTTTCATTCTTGAGAATTCTCAAAAACAAAACACAGCCCCAGCGTCTTCTTCCCTCCCCTGCCATCCTCCTCCCCTCCTCTCATACTCACCCACACACGCACCCACCCCCACCACCAGGCAGTCCTGTACTGGGCTACCTGACAGCAGGCGCGCTGATCGGCCCGTACGCGCTGTCGATCATCAAGCACGTGCACGGCACCAAGGCTGCCACTCTCCCTCCCTCCCCATCCACTCCCCACCATGCTTTTCAGGCAGTCCCGTGCTGGGCTATCTGACAGCGGGTGCCTTAATCGGTCCCTATGCGCTCTCCATCATCAAGCACGTGCACGGCACCAAGGCGCTCGCTGAGTTCGGCGTCGTCTTCCTCATGTTCAACATCGGACTGGAGGTGCGTGCATCCAAGATTCGTTATTCTTTCTCCACGCTGAACCTCCTGTGCAGTGCAGGCTATCATTGTACAAGGTGACTTTGTCAGCCATTTCCACAACCCTCTCCTCTTCTCTTCTCCTGCCTTCTGACTCCATGTTCCTCTCTCCCTTCCGAACTCCTCCCCCAACCACCCTTCAGCTGTCGCTAGAGCGCCTTCGCTCCATGCGCAAATACGTCTTCGGACTCGGCTCCGCCCAGGTACGTTCTGAGAGCCTTTCCCTGCTGCCTACTCCTATCTCTCCACTGTTCCCTTTCTGCTCTCTTCTTCTCGGTCAATCTCCGGCCCCCCACAGGCCCTTCTGCCCTTGCGTTGACCTCCTTGACTGCCCATCATGGCTTCGGTCCGCCGGGCCGGGACATTGATTGCACCCACCCTACCCTTGGTACTTCAGAATGTAGCGTTGCATGCAGCTCAAGCCACGCCTCGTCACAGCAACGCTAGTCCTGCCTGCTCGCCCCCGTTCCTCTTTCGTCCACCGCTGGCAGGTGCTGGTGTCGGCGCTGGTGATTGGGCTGTGCGTGCTGGCAGTGGCGGGGGTATCGGGCCCAGCAGCCATCGTCATCGGCAACGGCCTCGCACTCTCCTCAACTGCCGTTGTACTCCAGGTGGGTTACTGCTTTCTCACAGGTGGGTTACTGCTTTCTCACAGGTGGGTTACTGCTTTCTCTCAGGTGGGTTACTGCTTTCTCACAGGTGGGTTACTGCTTTCTCACAGGTGGGTTACTGCTTTCTCTCAGGTGGGTCTCTCATCATCTCTGTTGACGCTCAGGTGGGTCGCTGATGTTTCAAGGTGACTCTCTGTTTGCCATATCTGATTTCAGTATCCCATGCGCCCGCCGTCGCAACTGCACGCTACTGGTGTCTTTCGTTCTCTTGGGTTCACAATCCACCCCACCTCCGCCTCCGCCTCCCTCCTCCCCGCCACCCCTGGCCCCTCAGGTGCTGCAAGAGCGTGGTGAGAGCACGTCCCGCCACGGCCGAGCCACCTTCTCCGTGCTGCTCTTCCAGGTCAGTGCGCGCCAATTCCAGGTCTCCCTGTGTGCACCCATCCGATCTTGATCTCACCAATTCGTGCATGCCATTCTGCACCCAACTGACATTCCACTCTCCTGAGAGTGTATTTGCCTGCTCTCCCAGATCGATCAAGTTCCGCGTCCCTCCCTATCCCATGTTCCCATCCCACACCTCTCCCTGGTCACATTCACGGCATGAGTGGTTCACGACTGAGTGCCCTTCACTCCCATCCATACAGCACTGCCCCATGTCCACCATCATTCAATCAGCCTCGCTTGTTCATTTGTGTACCTTCCCCTCCCTCCCCCCCCCCCTTAAACCCCAACCCCCACCTGGGTTTCGTGCTGCAGGATCTAGCGGTGGTGGTGCTGCTCATCCTCATTCCGCTCCTCTCCCCCACCTCCTCCAAAGGGGTGAGTCGCTTCTTCCGCCATTTCCCATTTTCTCTCCCATTTTCTCTCCCACGCTCTCCCCTCCCCCCACATCCACGCTGTGCAAATGCCCACGTCTAAAATTAAGAGTGTAAATCAAAGGAATGCTTGAAAACAATTTCGTGTTGTTGCTCGTCTGAGTCATCCCTCCACTTTTCCCCTCTCCCCCTGTTGCTCACTCTCCTTGTCACACCCAGTCAACCCCTCTCACTCCGTTTCCCCTCTCTCACCATCCCCTATCCCTCCCTCTGCACTCCAACCAGGGCGTGGGCCTGTCAGCAACACCACTCCGTCTCACCCCCCCGTGCCCTCCTCCCACCATCCCCGCCCCTTCCCACTCTACCTCCCACCAGGGCGTGGGGCTGGGAGCCATAGCAGAGGCGCTAGGCGTGGCAGCAGTGAAGGCTGCAGTGGCCATCTCAGGCATCATTGCGGGCGGCAGGCTGGTGGGTGCACACAAGGGGGCAACTGGTGAGAGCAGGCTGGGGCTCAGGGCAGGGTGGTGGGTGCTGATTCTTCTAGCTGGCGAAGCAGTGGGCTGTGCCTGCTTGGGGTTCCAGGTGGGCTGGGAGTTGGGGCCGGCTGGTACGTTCTGGCTAATCCATATCCGTATTCCCCCTTCTCCCCATCCCCTTCCCCCCCCCCTCTCTCCCCCCCATCCGAATCAGCTGCTGCGGCCCATCTACCGCAGCATGGCGGAGAACCACAACGCTGAGATCTTCGCCGCCAACACACTGCTCGTCGTGCTCGGCACGTCCGTGCTCACTGCTAGGGTGAGGGGGGGGGGGGGGGGGTAGGGGTTGTAAGGGTGTGGTGATGATTAGGGGTGAGACAAGGGGAGGGTGGTTGGAGGGGCCTCAGTACTCGGCTCATGGTGGTGCAGGCGTGAGCTCTCACGGCAGGGCGTGTGGCAGGGGAAAAGGGCGCACGTGGATTCATTCATGCTGTCCACATGGATTCATTCATGCTGTCCACGTGGATTTATTCATGCTGTCCACGTGGATTCATTCATGCTGTCCACGTGGTTTGAGGCGCCTAAAAAATCGTCTCATTTCATTCATGCTGTCCACGCTGCGCGTGGAGCTTCCCTGTCTGTGTGTCAGTGCACGTGCACGTGCATTATCCTGCGCCTCCCTTTGCACCACACTTCATGCATTGCGCCCTATGCCATGCCCCCCCACCCTCATTGCTCCCAGGCGGGTCTGTCCATGGCGCTGGGTGCGTTCCTTGCGGGCCTGCTGCTCTCAGAGACTGAGTTCGCTCTGCAGGTGGGTGCTGTGCGCTACGGCTCCCTTGCCCTTCTTCCCTTACCTTGACTTCTGCCCTCCCTCCCGTTTGATCGCTTTACGCCTCGCCATTTTCGTCCCGAGCACCACTGCTGCTACACTCTCGCCATCTTTCTCAATTGATCTTCGGCCTTCCCCTATCTCTATCTCTCCCCTTCCACCGCAGGTCGAGTCGGATATCAACCCGTATCGTGGGCTGCTGCTCGGTCTCTTCTTCATGACGGTACGTTTGTTTTCTTCTCCACTCAAGCATTCTCTCTGACTCAGGCAGTGCTTTCAGCTGCAGTTCCCGTGCCTCTCCTCTCCTCTTTCGCATTCCCCCAATTCCTCACTCTTCCCCTGTGCATGCCCTCTCCTCCCCCCCCTCCAACGCGCCCTTCCTCCCCCCCAGGTGGGCATGTCCATCGACCCCAAGCTGCTGGTTGCTCGCTTCCCCCTCATCCTGGCGGCCATCGCCATCCTCATCGCCGGCAAGACCGCCCTGCTCGCCGCCATGGGGCGCCTCGTCGGCCTCTCGCCCGTCGCGGCTGTGCGCACCGGCCTGCTGCTGGCGCCTGGGGGGGAGTTTGCGTTTGTGGCGTTCGGGGAGGCTGTCAGCAAGGTGAGGGTGGGAGGGAGGTGCGGAGAGCGCGGTGGGGGGGGGTGGGGGGGTGTAAGAGGCCCATAAGGGGGGTTCCTCTTGCAACTACGTCCCTTAGTGTGTTCGCTGTGCTCTTGCATGCACTTCCCTCCCCCTCCATTCAACTCCCACTCTGCGCCGTGCACCCATCCCATCCCTTTCCACCCCATCCCCACCACCGCAGGGCATCATGAGTCCGCAGCTGTGCTCGCTGCTCTTCATCGTGGTGGGCATCAGCATGGCCATCACGCCATGGCTCGCAGCGGTGGGGCAGCTCATAGCGTCGCGCTTCGACCAGCAGGACGTGCGCTCACTGCAGCCGCAGGAGGCAGAGGTGAGGGGTGCTGCTGGGTTGGTTGTGGTTTGGGTGGGTGCAATCTCATGAGGCAAAGCTGCTTTGTTCTGAAAGAACCTAAATTGTTTGACTGCACTCAACCCATCGCCTCATCCGGCTATTCTCCCCTCCTCCCTCTCCCTGCCATGTGCCCGTCAGACTGACGACCTGCAAGGCCACATTATCATCTGTGGCTTCGGCCGCGTGGGTCAGGTGAGCCTTCGGTTGCCGTGTGGGTCACGTAATCCTTCTGTTTCCGTCATTGTCTCCTGCAAACTACCTTCTTCCATTGTCCCTGAACCCAATCCCCCCGCGTTTGTTTCCCTTCCGGTGTTCCACATTCCCTCGTTCCACATTCCCTCGTTCCACATTCCCTCGTTCCACATTCCTCACTCTTCTCCCCACCACCCCCCTTCCCCCCACCCCCACCACCCCCTCCTCGCCCCCGCGCCCCTCAGATTATAGGCCAGCTGCTCTCAGAGAGGCTCATCCCCTTTGTCGCTCTCGACGTCAGCAGGTACCAACATGCCCGTGGTAACGTGGTTGCTGGGCAGGATGGTCATTTCTCCTCAGTCTCACGTTTCCTGCTGCCTCTGCTGCGCATGGTACATTGCCCTACCTGCTGTATCACGTTCGTCATCTTGATTGCGCGCCTGATCCTCTCCTCTTCGCTGCCTCGCCTCTCCCGTGCCATCTCTCCCCTTCTCTCTCTCCTCTCCTCGCCACCGCAGTGACCGCGTGAGTGCAGGTCGCTCCTTGGACCTGCCTGTCTACTTTGGCGATGCTGGCAGCCGCGATGTGAGTCAAACCCTCCATGCCTCTTCCCACACATCAATCTCTTTGCTCCCACCTGCCTTCTGATCTCTTTGCTCCCACCTGCCTTCTGATCTCTTTGCTCCCACCCGCCTTCTGATTCCTTTCCCTCCCTCACTCGCTTGCTCCTCCTCTCCTCCTCTCCTCCTCTCCTCCTCTCCTCCACTTCTCCTCTCCTCCTCTCCTCCTCTCCTCCCCTCCTCCCCTCCTCCCCTCCTCCCTCCTCCCCTCCTCCCCTCCTCCCCTCCTCCCCTCCTCCCCTCCTCCCCTCCTCCCCTCCTCCCCTCCTCCCCTCCTCCCCTCCTCCCCACCTCCCCACCTCCCCACCTCCCCACCTCCTCTCCTCCTCTCCTCCTCTCCTCCTCTCCTCCTCTCCTCCTCTCCTCCTCTCCTCCTCTCCTCCTCTCCTCCTCTCCTCCTCTCCTCCTCTCCTCCTCTCCTCCTCTCCTCCTCTCCTCCTCTCCTCCTCTCCTCCTCTCCTCCTCTCCTCCTCTCCTCCTCTCCTCCTCTCCTCCTCTCCTCCTCTCCTCCTCTCCTCCTCTCCTCCTCTCCTCCTCTCCTCCTCTCCTCTCCTCCTCTCCTCCTCTCCTCCTCTCCTCCTCTCCTCCTCTCCTCCTCTCCTCCTCTCCTCCTCTCCTCCTCTCCTCCTCTCCTCTCCTCCTCTCCTCCTCTCCTCCTCTCCTCCTCTCCTCTCCTCCTCTCCTCCTCACCTGAATGAATGGGAAGTCATCTTGCAATCCTCGTTCTCCACCTTTCTCTCCCCCTTCCCCTGCACACTTCTCTCCACCCCAGGTACTCCAGGAGGTGGGGACAGAAAGAGCAGCAGCAGTCGTGACCACATTACCGAGCGGCGTGGCCGCTGAGCAAGAACCTCCCTTCCTCCCTCCACCCTTACTCCAGGTACTCCACAAGGTGGGCGCGGAGCGGGCGGCAGCCGCTGTCATCACCTTGGACACCCCCGGCGCCAACTACCGTGCGGTGTGGGCGCTGAGCAAGAACTTTCCGCACGTGAAGACGTTTGTGCGTGCGCACGACGTGGACCACGGCATCAACCTCGAGAAGGCCGGCGCCACTGCCGTCGTGCCAGAGACGCTAGAGCCGAGTCTGCAGCTCGCTGCTGCCGTGCTCGCCCAGGTATGCAAGGGGGTTGGCCTGTGAGTAGACTGACCAGGCAAATGTTGAGGCGCGTCAGAAGGCTGGGGCTACTGCTGTGCTGCTCGAGACGCTGGAGCCCAGCTTGCAGCCCGCTGCTGCTGTGCTCGCCCAGGTATAGGCGGCCTTGGGATGGTTCAGGACGGCCTTGGGGGGGGGACTGCTGAGTGCGCTGTTGAGGTGCTTCACACGGCCCCTGTGTGTGCGCACGACGTGGGTTGCTGCATCAATCTCGGGAAGGTTGGGCCTACTGCAATGTACCGTACGCCCTGCCTGGCGGGTCAGCGGGTGAGCGGGTCAGCGGGACAGCGGGACAGCGGGAGTTTTGTAAGGAGGCACCGTGGGTTGGGGGGGATGCTTGCCCTTTCCCTGTGTGGGGATGAGCGCAGGTGGGATGTGGTGCAGATGGGATGGGGTGCAGGTTGGATGTGGTGCAGGTGGGATGGGGTGCAGGTGGGATGTGGTGGAGGTGGGATGGGGTGTGGTTGAGAGGAATGCCGCATTCACTCCCTGCTCTACGCCACCTCATCTTTCCTTCTTTCCTTCTACCTGTCCTTTTTTATCTCGCCTCCAACCTCCCCTCTCCCAGGCGAAGCTGCCAGCAGCGGATATCGCTGCCACGCTGGACGACTTCAGAAGCCGACACCTGGCAGAGCTCACAGAGGTAAGCCCTGTCTGCCTTTTGGTGAGACACCTGGCAGAACTCACAGTCATGTGGCAGACTCACAGGTTTCCAGGTTATCTTTCTTGTTTTGGAGTGACTCACGCCGCCGTTCACCGCCACCGTGAGGTCAGACTCAAACTCACAGCGCCGAGACTCAATGTTTGCCCTTGCATCGCACAAGAGATCCAATGTCGACGTGGTAGTCTCAAGGCCCTTCCCCTTGCTGTCCTTCGGAGGGTCGGCTTGCTTCTTCTTCTTGCCGCCACGCTTCTTCTCCGCCTTCTTCGATGTAGAGGGCTTCGGAGTAGCGGTAGCGGGGGTCGACGTAGCACCCTGCGCTTCCAACACCATCGTTCGCATCTGTGACGATAGGGTAGACAGGAGCTCCGCCTTGACTTCCGCCTTGACTTCCTTGCGGAGCTTGGCCTTCGCCTTCTGAACAAACTTCTGAGCGATTTCGATGAATGCCGGCTCTGGTTCCATGCCTTCCATCTCCTCAACGGCAGCAGCTTTCTTCAAATCCTCGGCTTCGTGTCTCCTCTGCTTCATCAGCTCCTGGACTTTGATGTCGTCCTTAGCGGTAGCGATGTCGGACCGAGCCTTTTCGATGCACTGTCCCTTGATCTTCCTGAATTTCTCTTTGGTGACGTCGGAGATCGCCAAATCGGGGACAGAAGTTAGGCTCTTGATGGGTCTTAGATCTTCGCCGCCAGAGCCGTGAGGTGTGAGTTGGATGCCGTAAGGATCTCTTCAACCTCCAGTTCCTTCGACTTGATGAAGTCGGCTTGAATTCGTTGCTGGTACTCGCGATGAATGGCAGCCACGGAGACTTCAGACTTCTCTCGGATCGAAGAGAACTTTGTCTGAAACTCGACAACTTTGGTGCGGATACTGTGGAGTATCACACCTTGGCTGTCGAGTGCCTTCATCTTCAGCTTCGACTTCGCCTTCAAGTAGGCTCTGAAATCGTTCCGAAACCACTTGACCGCCTCCGCGGTCCAACCTTTAAAAGGTTCATGAATCGGAGTAGACTGGTCGATGGCGACTGTCGGGTTGGAGCTCGAAGCCACAGCAGGGGCGATGGTCAGGAGATCCGTCGGTGCAGCAGCCGGAGCGCCATTCGGATCGGCTTCAACATCCATGGAGGGAGGAGATTCTTCTTGCTTGTCTTGCTTCGAAGTGTCGCGAGTTGGAGCAGATTCAGCTTCCTTGAGTGGTGAAGCCGCTTGGACTTGCGCCCATAAGTTCTCTCGGGGCTGTCTGTCTCGCGCAAAATGATTGTGAGTCTTCCGTCTTCTGCGCTGGCGTCTTCTGGAGTAAGCGTAAGTGTAAGCAAATCCTTGGACATCTTCCAGTGAGCGCGGCGCAAGTAGACAGGTTAGCAAGTAAGAAAAAACAGTAAACTATAAAAATGTTTATGTAAACGTGAGTTCGGAGTAGTCGGAGCTCGTCTCTTCACAACCAATTAAACAGGTGACAAGCATGTTTCAGCCGTCGGGCATCCCTAGCGAGCTTACATCAGTGTCAATGAGAAAGTATGAGCAAAGCAAAGCCTCTAAGTAGAAACTAAGCATCCAACCGAACCAAACTCAATGTCCATAAATATCGGGACCAATCTAGGCCAACCTAGTAAAAACCAAGGGGCCACGTCTTCAAACCTCGAGGGTGTCTTGAAAAGTAGTTGAACTCGAGTCTTCGCCAGCTGGCAGCTTCGATAGCCGCGTGCGCACCAAACGCTTTGATAAGCTACACCCAATTTTCCAAGCAACGAAAAAACTTTCTATGAATAAACCATGCGTGAGGAGTCTATTTTTGAGGCGCCTCAAAAATAGACTTCACACTCACAGCGCCGAGACTCTATGTTTGCCCTTGCCTCGCACAAGAGATCCTATGCAGCTTGGTTTTTATGTGATAGAGCCCCCACCCATTCTCTCTCCTTGCTCCTCTGTCTCCCTTTCTCCCTGCCCTCTCTCCCCCAGCTCTCTGCGCTGAGCGGCTCATTGCTGGGCTATGGCTACTGCAGCAACCTCTTGAGGGATGGATGGATGGAGCCCCTTCCCACTCCTTTCCCTTGCTCCTCTCCCTCCCTCCCCACCCCCTCTCTTTCCCCCCAGCTCTCTGCGCTGAGTGGCTCATCGCTGGGCTACGGCTACTCCAGCAACCTCATGAGGGCCCGAGTCGCAGAGGCAGCAGGAGCCGCAGGAAGCAGTAGCAGTGCACCAGCCACTAGTAGCAGCAGCAGCACTGCGGTGGAGGGAGACGGAGGTATTGAGGGGCAGGCTGTTGCAATGCCAGCTTGAAACATGCTACCACCCAGCTTGTCTTGCCATTTATTTTCTGAGGAATCCAAATGATGAGTGTAGAATCCTTGTGACCCTCTGCTTCACGTCCTTGTGACACTTACAAGATGTTTGATTTTGGCACACACTGGTAGTTACACGGTACACCCCTTGTTCAGCCAGTGGTTTCACCACACCAGTCGTAAATGTGGTTACAGTCTCAGTACTAGTGCTTGTGGGTGCTCTAAGCACATACTGAAGCAGCCAGGCCCTTGTACGCGAACCAGTAAGGGAGCAATTTTGAAACAGGCCATGTCATTATATCCGTGCTTGATGTCCATTCATGTTATGCCTGCGAGCTAGTTGTTCAGGCATGTGCTAATAGTGTTTCAGAATCCAATTCCACTGCACTGCACAATTACGGAACGTTGAATTACCATGGCCTCAGATCGGATTCCTGTGTCAAACATGTTTATCTACAATGTTTGTATAGACTGTATAGGGTCATCTCTTAGAGAGTACAACCCTTAGATATATGTCCTTGTACAATTCTTTCTAGTCAATTATTATTCAGTTTTCCTTTGAGATGGTATCACCCGTAGGTTGGTTCCCCTCCACCTACCGCTTCCGCCCGTGCCTCCTAGGCCCCGCCACCCCCTCCGTTCCTCCTAGGCCCCGTCGCGCCCCCATGGGCCCCACCGCGCTGCCTAGGCCCCGTCGCGCCCCCCTGGGCCCCATCGCGCTGCCTAGGCCCCGTCGCGCCCCCCCTGGGCCCCATCGCGCTGCCTAGGCCACGTCGCGCCCCTCCTGGGCCCCTTCGTGCCCCGTAGGCCCCGTCGCGCCCCCCTGGGCCCCATCGTGCCTCCTAGGCCTCGTCGCGCCCCCCTGGGCTCCATCGCGCCTCCTAGGCCCCGTCGCGCCCCCCTGGGCCCCATCGTGCCTCCTAGGCCCCGTCGCGCCCCCCTGGGCCCCATCGCGCTGCCTAGGCCCCGTCGCGCCCCTCCTGGGCCCCCCTTCGTGCCCCGTAGGTCCCGTCTCGCCCCCCTGGGCCCCATCGTGCCTCCTAGACCCCGTCGCGTCCCACTGGGCCCCATCGCGCTGCCTGGGCCCCGTCGCGCCCCTCCTGGGCTCCTGTAGCGCTTCCTCGCCCGTCGCGCCCCCCCCTGGGCCCCTGCAGCGCCTTCTAGCCCGTCACGCCCCTCCTGGGCCCCTCATGCCTCCTCGACCCCGTCGCACCTGCCTGGCCCCGTTGTGCCTGCCTGGCCCCGTCGAGCCTGCCTGGCCCTCGCCGCGCTGCCTGGCCCCGCCGCGCCTGCCTAGCCCCGTCGCGCCTGCCTGGCCCTGCCGTGTCTCCTGGCCCCGTCGCGCCTGCCTGGCACTGCCGCACCTGCCTGGCCCCGCCGCGCTACCTGGCACTGCCGCGCCTGCCTGGCCCCGTCGCGCCTGCCTGGCCCCGCCGCGTCTCCTGGCCCCGCCGCGCTGCTTGGCCCCGTCGAGCCTGCCTGGCCCTGCCGCGTCTGCCTGGCGCTGCCGCGCCTGCCTGGCCCCGTCGCGCCTGCCTGGCCCCGTCGCGCCTGCCTGGCCCCGCCGCGTCTCCTGGCCCCGCCGCGCTGCCAGGCCCCGTCGCGCCTGCCTGGCCCCGTCTCGTCTCCTGGCCCCGCCGCGCTGCCGGGCCCCGTCGCGCCTGCCTGGCCCTGCCGCGCCTCCTGGCCCCGCCGCCCCTGCCTGGCCCCGCCGCGCCTGCCCGGCCTTGCCGCACCTCCTGGCTCTGCCGCACCTCCCGTGCCTCACCCGCCGTGCCTGACCGGCCGGCGCCTCTTCGTACCTACTCGCATGTGCTGGGGCGCCGTTTTGCGGCCGTCGTGTTGGAGGGCGCTGCCGTCCTCTTCCTGCGGAGCTGTGCCGCTGACCCTGCACGATGGCTGACTTCGTGCTCCGACTGGACGCCGAGGGCCACGCGGTTGACTTCGCCGCCTGGCTCTCTGACCTCCGCCGCCACCTTATAGGTCAGCGTCAGGATGGCCACTCTTTGGTTGTCCATGTCGATTGTTTGCTCCCTCGCCCCCCTGCGCCCGTTCGCCTCCCTGCTGACCTCTCCTCTGATGCCCGTGAGACCTTCTCTACTGCTGCACTTGCCTGTGCTGTCTGGGACTCCCGCGATGCAATCGCTCAGGTTGCTATTAGCCACGCCCTCCCTGTGTCTGAACGCTCGCGTTTTGCTACCATTGCGACGGCCAAAGCCTACTTAGACGCAGTCATTGCCCGCTATTCCACACCCGCGTCTGCCTCTGCTGGTCGCTTGCTTTTCCCGATGCTCTTCCCAGACCTTGCAGCCTTCCCTACCGTCGCAGACTTTGCCGCTCACCTGCGTGCCATAGAGACCCGCTATCGCACTGCCAGCACTGCTGCACAGCTCACTGCGCTCCCCCCTCCTTTCTGCATGACGCTCTATTTCATCGCCATGCGCCTGCCGGACCGCCTCGCTAGTGCCCGCGATCACTTCCTTAGCCAGCACCCGGCTGACCTCACCCTCACTGCCTTTGTCGACACCCTCACCGAGATCGAGACTCGCCAGCGCACTATCGCTCAGTCGAGCGGTGCGCCGGCAGTTTCTATCTTTCACGGCTGTGCCCCCTCCCAGTGCACGTTCACTGACGTTTCGGCTGCGGTCGCCACGGTGCCCCCTCCCACCGAGACGGCTGCTGCGGTCCACCCGCAGCAGCGCTCGCGCCGCAGTGGCCGTGGTCGCCAGGGAGGTCGGGGTGGTGGCGCAGGTGGTGGTGGTGGTGTTAGTGGTAGTGACGGTAGTCCGCCTGCTGGGACTACCACTGGTCGGCAAGAGCAGCAGCCCCCGCCGCAGCAGGAGCAGCCCGAGCCGCCCCCGCCGTCCCAGCAGCAGCCGTCGCCCCAGCAGCAGCCGCCGCAGCAGTGGGCTCGTCTCCCGCCTGGTTGGCCTGGCACCGGCGGAGGTGGTGGCCGTGGTGGTGGCCCGCGCAGCTCGGCGTCTACCAGCGGCTCCGGTGCTGTGACCTGCCAGTACCAGCTTCAGACCGGGCCTCTTCGCGGCACTCTGTGTCGCCGCCCGCACCCGACTGCCCGCTGTTTTTGCCGCCTTGACGATCTTTTTCGTCGTCGCTTTGGCCCGGCCCCGGACCTCCCTGACTAGCACAGCCTGCTCCGCCAGGGCGTGCCGATCTTTGAGTTAGACATGGATCAGTTAGGTGCAGCTTTGCATGCTTTGTATTCTGACGCTGCTAGTGTTGCTGGATCTTATTATCCTGTGTTCTCCAGCTTAGGTGTTGCACCCTTGTGTAGCATAGCTTCCCCTGCTGCGCCAGGCATAGGACTGCCTAGTTTGCCTAGCCCAGTCTCTGCACCGGCCCCGTTCCCGGCCTCCGCCACTGCATCGCTGTCGTTCACTCTCGACTCCGGTGCTTCTGCCTGCTTCTTCCGCGACCGCTCCGCGCTCACGCCGCTTGCTACATCTGCTGTCGTCTCTCTCACTGACCCCTCTGCGGGTCCTGTCGTTGCTCGCAGTTTTACGTCCCTTCCCTGTCCTGCAGTTCCCTCGGGCTCCCTTACAAGCCTCCACGTTCCCTCGTTCTCGAGAAACCTGGTTGGTGTCGGCTGTCTCCAGGACCTCGGCGTCACCACCACGTTTCCCGGGCACGAGCGGTTCGCTGTCTGTTCTGAGGCTGTCTCAGGTTCCCCTCTTGCGACGTTCCCCCGGGACCTGGTGTCCGGTCTGTTTACCCTCAACACCGCTTCCCCCCCGGTTGGTGCGTCCTCCCAGGTCGCTGCAGCTTGCTCGTGTCGTTCCCTCACTCACCCGTCCTTTCTCTGGCACCACCGCTTAGGTCACCCTGCTCTCCCTCGTCTGCGTCACATGTCCCAGCACGGTCTTCTCTTAGGTCTCCCTGCGTCGCTCCCTGCCCTTCCTCCCTCGACTGCGCCACCGTGCACGCCTTGCGTCGAGGGTCGGCTCCGCCGTGCTCCTCACTCCTCCTCGCTGCGCCCTGCGACTGCCCCCCTCCAGACCCTGCACCTAGATGTCTGGGGCCCTGCCCCCGTCCCCGGACCGCGCGGTGAGCACTACTTCCTTGTGCTCGTTGATGATTAGACGCGCTACACCACGGTGTTTCCTCTGGAGCGGAAGGCCGACGTGCCCGACGTTCTTCTACCGTGGGTTGTGGCTGCGCGTCTTCGCTGCAGTCTCCCCGTGTTGTATCTCCACTCTGACCGTGGCGGCGAGTTCGCCTCTGGTCGGCTTGGACAGTTCTGTCGTGCGGAGGGCATCACCCAGACGTACACCTTGCCGGACTCGCTACAGCAGAATGGGGTTGCTGAGCGCCGCATTGGCTTGGTCATGGAGGTTGCTCGTACCTCCATGATTCATGCTGATGCCCCCCATTTTCTGTGGCCGTTCGCTGTTCGCTACGCTGCTCACCAGCTTAACTTGTGGCCACGCTCTCAGCGGCCACAGGTTTCGCCGACCCTCCTCTGGACCGGGTCCCCTGGTGACGCGTCTGCGTTCCACGTCTGGGGCTGTCTTGCTCACGTTCGTGCCTCTGGCACGGACAAGCTCACTGCCCGCACGGTCCCCTATGTCTTCCTTGGTTTCCCCCTCGACTCGTCTGACTGGCTGTTCTACCACCCCCCGTCTCATCGCTTCCTCCACTCTCGTGACGTCACCTTTGACGAGTCTGTTTCCTTCTACCGTCGCTTCCCTCACCGATGTCTCTTGGTTGCCCCGCCTCTGTTCCTTGCTCCCTCTCCCCCGGTAGCCCCTGCGCCTCCCCCGCCTCGCCCTGCCCCGTCTGGTGTCTCTCACGTCACTCCCCTCCCGTCGGTTGTCCCCGTTGAGGAGTCCGCTGACTCTGGTGGTACACCTGGCCCGTCCGTGCCACGTCCCCCTCCCCCGGTGTCTTCGCCTCCACGGTCGCAGTCGCCCCCTCTGATGCAGCCGCTGCCGCCCTCGCCGCCGCCGCCGTCGTCGCTGCTGTTGCCGCTGCCGTCGTCGCTGTCGCCGCCGCTCTTGGCCCCTGCGGCTGCTCGCGTGGAGGAGGGTGTTCGTCCTACAGCTTTTGGGGGTGCCGCTGGTGTTGGAGGAGGTCCTCGCTTTGGGGGTGTTGGTTCTGGGGGTGCTGCTGTTGAGGGTTCCGCCACCGGTCGTCCTCCCTCTGCCGGTCCGAGCATTCCGGCACAGTCGCCGCCGGTTTCCGCTCTCCGCCTGCTCGGCCTTCCCTCCCCAGACCGCTCCCCGGTGTCTTCCTCGCCGTCTGCTGACTTTCCTGTCTACGGTCCTGTGTTCCCGCCGCCGGACTCGTCTCCGGCCCG